TGTCGTTGCGGTGCCGATGTTATACCGATGTATCACCGTTGACCGGAGCTCTAGCGGAGTGATGTCGTTGCGGTGCCGATGTTATACCGATGTATCACCGTTGACCGGAGCTCTAGCGGCGTTATGTCGTTGCGGTGCCGATGTTATACCGATGTATCACCGTTGACCGGAGCTCTAGCGGCGTTATGTCGTTGCGGTGCCGATGTTATACCGATGTATCACACGTTGACCAGAGCTCTAGCGGCGTGATGTCGTTGCGGTGCCGATGTTATACCGATGTATCAACGTTGACCGGAGCTCTAGCGGAGTGATGTCGTTGCGGTGCCGATGTTGTACCGATGTTTCACCGTTGACCGGAGCTCTTGCGGAGTGATGTCGTTGCGGTGCCGATGTTATACCGATGTATCACCGTTGACCGGAGCTCTTGCGGAGTGATGTCGTTGCGGTGCCGATGTTATACCGATGTATCACCGTTGACCGGAGCTCTAGCGGAGTGATGTCGTTGCGGTGCCGATGTTATACCGATGTATCACCGTTGACCGGAGCTCTAGCGGCGTTATGTCGTTGCGATGCCGATGTTATACCGATGTATCACACGTTGACCAGAGCTCTAGCGGCGTGATGTCGTTGCTGTGCCGATGTTATACCGATGTATCACCGTTGACCGGAGCTCTAGCGGAGTGATGTCGTTGCGGTGCCGATGTTGTACCGATGTTTCACCGTTGACCGGAGCTCTTGCGGAGTGATGTCGTTGCGGTGCCGATGTTATACCGATGTATCACCGTTGACCGGAGCTCTTGCGGAGTGATGTCGTTGCGGTGCCGATGTTATACCGATGTATCACCGTTGACCGGAGCTCTAGCGGAGTGATGTCGTTGCGGTGCCGATGTTGTACCGATGTTTCACCGTTGACCGGAGCTCTTGCGGAGTGATGTCGTTGCGGTGCCGATGTTATACCGATGTATCACCGTTGACCGGAGCTCTAGCGGAGTGATGTCGTTGCGGTGCCGATGTTATACCGATGTATCACCGTTGACCGGAGCTCTAGCGGAGTGATGTCGTTGCGGTGCCGATGTTATACCGATGTATCACCGTTGACCGGAGCTCTAGCGGAGTGATGTCGTTGCGGTGCCGATGTTATACCGATGTATCACCGTTGACCGGAGCTCTAGCGGAGTGATGTCGTTGCGGTGCCGATGTTATACCGATGTATCACCGTTGACCGGAGCTCTAGCGGCGTTATGTCGTTGCGGTGCCGATGTTATACCGATGTATCACCGTTGACCGGAGCTCTAGCGGAGTGATGTCGTTGCGGTGCCGATGTTATACCGATGTATCACCGTTGACCGGAGCTCTAGCGGCGTTATGTCGTTGCGGTGCCGATGTTATACCGATGTATCACCGTTGACCGGAGCTGTAGCGGCGTTATGTCGTTGTGGTGCCGATGTTATACCGATGTATCACCGTTGACTGGAGCTCTAGCGGAGTGATGTCGTTGCGGTGCCGATGCACTACCGGTGTGACGATGGAGCTCCGGTATCACATCGGCGGCGCATCGGTACTACTTCGGTGGTATTCGGTAGTACTACGGTATCACATCGGTACCAGTACGGGACACATTGAGGCCACCGGAGAGCCGCCGATCCATTACGGGACGCTACCGATGCTCTACCGACATTAACGAAGCCATACCGAATACGCCGTTGTACTGCCGTTGTAGTCCCGTTGCTCGCTCCGGCAGCGAAAAAACTACTACCGTCGCTTGCCGTCGCTAATTTTTTTGCCGATGTTCCGACGATGTCCTGAGGATGTACTACCGTTCTTAGCGATATGATACCGTTGCGCTGCCGTGCTAGTACCGATCCCCTAAAATCGCCAAATTTGTGCTCCGGTATAGCTCCGGCGACCCAAATCAGCTAGGTGTGACGTACAGGCCTTTAACTCATTCACTCAGCAATAGGCCCAGGACAAAGCGCTATTGATTTGTGAAAATGGCCTATTTGTAAACATTTATAAATCACTTGACTGTTAATAATGAAGATTACTCTTGCCCTTTAACTAGCAGTTATTCTAAATATGCTACTCAGAAGAAGTTAAAGTTGGTTGGTTGGTTGGTTGGTTGGTTGGTTGGTTGTTTAACGCCAAACTCAGCAATATTCTAGCTGTATGACGGCGGTCTGTAAATAATCCAGTCTGGACCAGACAATCCAGTGATTGATATCATGAGCATCGATCCATGCATTTGGGATCGATGACATGCATCAACCAAGTCAGCGAGCCTGACCAACCGATCCCGTTTGTCGCCTCTTACGACAAGCATAGTCGCCTTTTACGACAAGCATGGGTTGCTGAAGACCTATTCTACCAGTTAAAGAACACAGCCTTTCTTCATAGAGTAAATCTGTCATGAATCATTAACTGTACAGTCATTTAAGAAATTCGGGTGCTCTTTAACTTCTTTTGAGTAGTTTATTGAAAAAAAACCAAAACATTTCAATGTTTATCAACGCATCATGAACGTAAATATTTTAAGAAAATAATCTGTGGAACTGCTGATTATTTTGAGCATATATTGCCAAAAAATACTACACATTTGATCATATCAGCCACGATTCTGCAAACTGTAGTTATTGCAAAACATGTGCTTTAGTCGAGATCCATGGTGCGTCTGTGTAGGTAGCGTGTATAGCTTTTTGGCTGGAGCAAAGACATACTGGAGCCAAAACACACTGCACCCAAATACCCCCCCCCCCCCCTATCTACCCCCTCTCCCACGACCCAACCCCGCCACAATAAGCGTTGTTACAGACGTACCACCTGATCGCTGGGTTCTGAAAGGTAGCACCGATGCGGTAGGTCGCAAGCTGGAGCTTTGTACATTGGATGCCGTTTCCGAAAGCCAAAACGATAAAGTGATATAAAAGCTGGGTGTTAGGAGTGAGTCCTGGCAACGTTTTAATTGAGCACTACAGCCGATGTCACAGTTTGATTGAGCTTAAGTTGAAAATATGAAGTACCCTTTGCTCTCACACTGACTCATTAACTTTTAAAGAATTTCTTGATTATATTTCAAGCTGGATAGTACCATAGTGAATAACACCACTCAGATAAAAAAAAACACGTAGATTCATCGTCTAACAGAGAAATACAGTATACTACGTTTATAACGAACACGCTTATAACGAACTGATCGATATAACGAACTTATTTTTAGTCCCTGCCATTTGTTTCATATATGCTGTATGCATGCTTATAACAAACTACAGTTATAACGAACTAAAATTAGTGGTCCCTTTGAGTTCGTTTTAAGCGTAGTTTACTGTAGTTATGGTTTATGTGAATTATTGTCGGGCGAATGGTTGAAGTAGAAGTTTGTGCGTTAATCCATAGATTCACTATATAACAACATGAATCATTTATAGAATAAAAGCAAATCTACAAGCCCTGTTAACGCCAGCCCCCCGTGTTTAGTGTGTCACGCCAGTGTTTATCGAGTGTATTCTCAGGAGAACGCTATTAAGGTATTAAATCACCACTCTGTCACAATCTCAACACCACATAATTGCACGCCACCACACACCGGTATCAGCGGACATCAGGGAGCAATATAGCAGCATAATATATAAACCTTATCACAGATCAACTCAACAGAATAAAAAAAGACAATATTTAACAATTGTGTAGACATCTATTTCTATCCCATGTACTGTTTTCCCCTTGCCTGCGAATATATACAATATGGATTAGGAAGCTTCAGGTCATGGCGTTTAGTGGACCGGACTAAAACTTGATTGGACTTCTGATTCAGTTTCTCATCACTCATCAATTAAATAGATAGCGTCCTATATCCATGACATAAATACGAGTAAGATTTATTCCGATATCAGACTTTACTACTGAAAACATCCGATAGCAAACCCCTTATCGCTACTACACAAGTATAGGGCACTCAGCCAATAACACGTCTTCCGGTAATAACCAGCTCGTTGTGAACGTGTTCTGATTGACAGAATCTCGGATACCGTTTAAAGACTGACAAAAAACTGCCATGTGTGCCCAGGGTATAACGGCTTCTTTGCCCACAGAAAGAACTCTCTCTCTCTCTCTCTCTCTCTCTCTCTCTCTCTCTCTCTCTCTCTCTCTCTCTCTCTCTCTCTCTCTCTCTCTCCCTCTCTCTCTCTCTCTCTCTCTCTCCTCTCCCTCCCTCTCTCTCTCTCCCCTCTCTCTCTCTCCCTCTCTCTCTCCCTCTCTCTCTCCCTCTCTCTCTCTCTCTCTCTCTCTCTCTCTCTCTCTCTCTCTCTCTCTCTCTCTCTCTCTCTCGAGGTGTATATCATTTAAAACATGTAATTGTTCAAGACAGGTACCATTTAAAGCGTTTAGACGTCGCATTCAATATGCGAATACAGACAGACTGTTAATGATACAGATAGTAGTATGTATGAAGGTGGGGCTGTTTTCAAGGTGACTGTTAGTGATACAGATAGTAGTATGTATGAAGGTGGGGCTGTTTTCAAGGTGACTGTTAGTAATACAGATAGTAGTATGTATGAAGGTGGGGCTGTTTTCAAGGTAAGGTCGCCTTTGGCTATAGTCCTAAAACACTAGTACACAAATATAAGAATGTTGTTTCTAAATAAATCCTACATTATTATCTGGCATATATGTCCACTATGACATTTATTGTCTTCTTGTCTATTATGGGAATATGTCACGATGCCGATTGTGTCGGCTATTTACATACAAAGTACCAAGAAGCAGCTGTTATATTTCCAGGAAGGACTGTCCAAGTTAGTATTGGTCCACGCAGCATTAGGGTAGTATGTCTTCCAGACCCTAGAGAATAATCTAAAAAAGGGAATCCAACTCAAGTTCATTTGGATTATATTTTTATTTTGTAGATACATATTTTTTAACTCAGATAACTTTATTTCTGGGACTAATTGTTAGTCTATAGTAGTAGGTAACAAGTGTAAAAGAGACAAGAGCCCTCTACAATTCAGGGATACGAGTGACCTTTCAAGGGAAGGCAGGGGTCAACTGGAAGGAGACGGCCAATCAGGACGACGACGACAGTAAGAAGACCGTCGTGGTCCACTTCAACGCAGAGGAGATCTACATCAACCACAGGAAGCTGCTCTGGGGGGAAGGTAGGTACATCTAGGTTGAGAGGAAGATAAAACTAGATATATCACGGGGTAGATGCGTCTGTGATGGCAGGAGGATAAAACTAGATATATCACGGGGTATGTGCATCTTGGGTGAGAGGAAGTTAAAACTAGATATATCACGGGGTAGATGCGTCTGTGATGGCAGGAAGATAAAACTAGATATATCACGGGGTAGATGCGTCTGTGATGGCAGGAAGTTAAAACTAGATATATCACGGGGTAGGTGCGTCTGTGATGGCAGGAGGATAAAACTAGATATATCACGGGGTATGTGCGTCTGTGATGGCAGGAGGATAAAACTAGATATATCACGCCGGGGTAGGTGCGTCTGTGATGGCAGGAGGATAAAACTAGATATATCACGTGGTAGGTGCGTCTGTGATGGCAGGAGGATAAAACTAGATATATCACGTGGTAGGTGCGTCTGTGATGGCAGGAGGATAAAACTAGATATATCACGGGGTAGGTGCGTCTGTGATGGCAGGAGGATAAAACTAGATATATCACGGGGTAGGTGCGTCTGTGATGGCAGGAGGATAAAACTAGATATATCACGTGGTAGGTGCGTCTGTGATGGCAGGAGGATAAAACTAGATATATCACGCCGGGGTAGGTGCGTCTGTGATGGCAGGAGGATAAAACTAGATATATCACGGGGTAGGTGCGTCTGTGATGGCAGGAGGATAAAACTAGATATATCACGGGGTATGTGCATCTTGGGTGAGAGGAAGATAAAACTAGATATATCACGCCGGGGTAGGTGCGTCTGTGATGGCAGGAGGATAAAACTAGATATATCACGGGGTAGGTGCGTCTGTGATGGCAGGAGGATAAAACTAGATATATCACGGGGTAGGTGCGTCTGTGATGGCAGGAGGATAAAACTAGATATATCACGGGGTAGATGCGTCTGTGATGGCAGGAGGATAAAACTAGATATATCACGTGGTAGGTGCGTCTGTGATGGCAGGAGGATAAAACTAGATATATCACGGGGTAGGTGCGTCTGTGATGGCAGGAGGATAAAACTAGATATATCACGGGGTATGTGCATCTTGGGTGAGAGGAAGATAAAACTAGATATATCACGCCGGGGTAGGTGCGTCTGTGATGGCAGGAGGATAAAACTAGATATATCACGTGGTAGGTGCGTCTGTGATGGCAGGAGGATAAAACTAGATATATCACGGGGTAGGTGCGTCTGTGATGGCAGGAGGATAAAACTAGATATATCACGGGGTAGATGCGTCTGTGATGGCAGGAGGATAAAACTAGATATATCACGGGGTAGGTGCGTCTGTGATGGCAGGAGGATAAAACTAGATATATCACGGGGTAGATGCGTCTGTGATGGCAGGAGGATAAAACTAGATATATCACGGGGTAGGTGCGTGTGTGATGGCAGGAAGATAAAACTAGATATATCACGGGGTATGTGCATCTTGGGTGAGAGGAACATAAAACTAGATATATCACGTGGTAGGTGCGTCTGTGATGGCAGGAGGATAAAACTAGATATATCACGCCGGGGTAGGTGCGTCTGTGATGGCAGGAGGATAAAACTAGATATATCACGGGGTAGGTGCGTCTGTGATGGCAGGAGGATAAAACTAGATATATCACGCCGGGGTAGGTGCGTCTGTGATGGCAGGAGGATAAAACTAGATATATCACGGGGTATGTGCATCTTGGGTGAGAGGAAGATAAAACTAGATATATCACGGGGTAGGTGCGTCTGTGATGGCAGGAGGATAAAACTAGATATATCACGTGGTAGGTGCTTCTGTGATGGCAGGAGGATAAAACTAGATATATCACGCCGGGGTAGGTGCGTCTGTGATGGCAGGAGGATAAAACTAGATATATCACGGGGTAGGTGCGTCTGTGATGGCAGGAGGATAAAACTAGATATATCACGGGGTAGGTGCGTCTGTGATGGCAGGAGGATAAAACTAGATATATCACGGGGTAGGTGCTTCTGTGATGGCAGGAGGATAAAACTAGATATATCACGGGGTAGATGCGTCTGTGATGGCAGGAGGATAAAACTAGATATATCACGGGGTAGATGCGTCTGTGATGGCAGGAGGATAAAACTAGATATATCACGGGGTATGTGCATCTTGGGTGAGAGGAAGATAAAACTAGATATATCACGGGTAGGTGCATCTATGATGGGAAGAAGATAAAACTAGATATATCACGGGGTAGATGCGTCTGTGATGACAGGAGGATAAAACTAGATATATCACGGGGTAGGTGCATCTTGGGTGAGAGGAAGTTAAAACTAGATATATCACGGGGTAGATGCGTCTTGGGTGAGAGGAAGATAAAACTAGATATATCACGGGGTAGGTGCGTCTGTGATGACAGGAGGATAAAACTAGATATATCACGGGGTAGGTGCATCTTGGGTGAGAGGAAGATAAAACTAGATATATCACGGGGTAGGTGCGTCTGTGATGGCAGGAGGATAAAACTAGATATATCACGGGGTAGATGCGTCTGTGATGGCAGGAGGATAAAACTAGATATATCACGGGGTATGTGCATCTTGGGTGAGAGGAAGATAAAACTAGACATATCACGGGTAGGTGCATCTATGATGGGAAGAAGACAAAACTAGACATATCACAGCGCTAGGGTATGTACATCTGTAAGAGGGGAAATCTAGATACAGTGTATATCACGGGGTATGTGCATCTGGGGTGAGAGGAAGATAAAACTAGATATATCACGGGTAGGTGCATCTATGATTGGAAGAAGACAAAACTAGACATATCACAGCGCTAGGGTATGTACATCTGTAAGAGGGGAAATCTAGATACAGTGTATATCACGGGGTATGTGCATCTGGGGTGAGAGGAAGATAAAACTAGATATATCACGGGAAATGTACATCTTTCATGGGTGGAAGATAAAGCTAGTTATATCATCAATGGTGAGCGGATAGTAATACTAGATAGGGGCACAAACATATGTGATGGGAATAAGATATAACTAGATACATTACGGGGTAGGTACATCTGTGTAGAAGGAAGATGAACCAAGATATATCACAGGGCAGGCACATCTGTGATGAGAAGAAGATAAACCTAGATATATCACGGGGTAGGTACATCTGTGTAGAAGGAAGATGAACCTAGATATATCACAGGGCAGGCACATCTGTGATGAGAAGAAGATAAACCTAGATATATCACGGGGTAGGTACATCTGTGAAGAAGGAAGATAAACCTAGATATATCACAGGGCAGGCACATCTGTGATGAGAAGAAGATAAACCTAGATATATCACGGGGTAGGTACATCTGTGTAGAAGGAAGATGAACCTAGATATATCACAGGGCAGGCACATCTGTGATGAGAAGAAGATAAACCTAGATATATCACGGGGTAGGTACATCTGTGAAGAAGGAAGATAAACCTAGATATATCACAGGGCAGGCACATCTGTGATGAGAAGAAGATAAACCTAGATATATCACGGGGTAGGTACATCTGTGTAGAAGGAAGATAAACCTAGATATATCACAGGGTAGGTACATCTGTGATGGGGAGAAGATAAACCTAGATATATCACAGGGCAGGCACATCTGTGATGGGAAGAAGATAAACCTAGATATATCACAGGGAAGGCACATCTGTGATGGGAAGAAGATAAACCTAGATATATCACAGGGCAGGCACATCTGTGATGGGAAGAAGATATAACTAGATATATCACAGGGCAGGCACATCTGTGATGGGAAGAAGATAAACCTAGATATATCACAGGGTAGGTACATCTGTGATGGGGAGAAGATATAACTAGATATATCACAGGGCAGGCACATCTGTGATGGGAAGAAGATAAACCTAGATATATCACAGGGTAGGTACATCTGTGATGGGAAGAAGATATAACTAGATATATCACAGGGCAGGCACATCTGTGATGGGAAGAAGATATAACTAGATATATCACAGGGCAGGCACATCTGTGATGGGAAGAAGATAAACCTAGATATATCACGGGGTAGGTACATCTGTGATGGGAAGAAGATATAACTAGATATATCACGGGCAGGCACATCTGTGATGGGAAGAAGATAAACCTAGATATAATACGGGGTAGGTACATCTGTGATGGGAAGAAGATAAACCTAGATATATCACAGGGCAGGCACATCTATGTAGAAGGAAGATAAACCTAGATATATCACGGGGTAGGTACATCTGTGATGGGAAGAAGATATAACTAGATATATCACAGGGCAGGCACATCTGTGTAGAAGGAAGATAAACCTAGATATATCACAGGGCAGGCACATCTGTGATGGGAAGAAGATAAACCTAGATATATCACAGGGCAGGCACATCTGTGATGGGAAGAAGATAAACCTAGATATATCACAGGGCAGGCACATCTGTGATGGGAAGAAGATATAACTAGATATATCACAGGGCAGGCACATCTGTATAGGAGGAAGATAAACCTACATATATCACAGGGCAGGCACATCTGTGATGGGAAGAAGATATAACTAGATATATCACAGGGCAGGCACATCTGTGTAGAAGGAAGATAAACCTAGATATATCACAGGGCAGGCACATCTGTGATGGGAAGAAGATAAACCTAGATATATCACAGGGCAGGCACATCTGTGATGGGAAGAAGATAAACCTAGATATATCACAGGGCAGGCACATCTGTGATGGGAAGAAGATATAACTAGATATATCACAGGGCAGGCACATCTGTATAGGAGGAAGATAAACCTACATATATCACAGGGCAGGCACATCTGTGATGGGAAGAAGATATAACTAGATACATCACGGGGTACATCAATGATGAGAGGATGATGATACTAGATAGATACGGGACAGGTACATATGTGATGGAAAGAACATATAACTATATGTATAGGACGGGGCAGGTACATCTGTGATGTGATGTGATGACGTCATTAGCCGGAGCAGTGTGTATTCTAGCAGATATGATACAGCCGTGGGGAGACACATACATTCATTGCTTGTGTGACAGCAGCCATCAAATGGTCACTCGTCCATTCCAGATTCTGACAAGGACTTCTCGGCACATCTCCCCGCCGGACATTACGAGTTCCCGTTCAGTGTCCCCCTTCCTAAAAACCTCCCATGTTCCTTTGAGGGAGATCATGGCTGCGTCAACTACAAGGTCAAGGCCACAATAGACAAGCCGTGGAAGAGAGACCACAACGTCAAGATATTCTTCACCGTCCTCGGCATGTACGACCTCAACGACGACCCCCACGCCAGCGTCAGTAATCACGTTTATCCTTACTCTCACTAATCACCAAATTTGTACTCCATGGTGTTTAATGCCATCAATGCTCGCTCGATAAATGCAGCTACGAATCCACGGCGTTTAATAACTTGACTTCTAAGTTTTTAATCTTAACCAATATAAAATTAAAACGTCAACGTTGAAAAAGAACCTGCCGAAAAAAGATAACAAGGGCTGTAAAAATCAAATAGCGATGAAAATTATATGAAGAGATCACTGACAAACAAGAGATAGCGAAAAGGGTAAGCGTGTCCAGTGATGCTTGTCTCAGGTACGACTTCCGGTTCCGGTAATGGCTAGCTTTTGGGGGTTATCACGTGTCACGGAAACACATAGAATGCCATATATGGGCCCAACCTGCTATAGAGAGACACTAACTCCAGTAATCTGTATGGTGGTGTGATAACATGACGTTAACCTACTCATGCCTCGGCCAGGCGACATACATTTCTTTATTCAGCCATGGCATATGTGTTTGTTAAGTCTGTTTTACACCGGGTTTAGCAATACACAAGCAATATCCGTCGTCCTCACGGAAGGCGTGCCGACCACCGCTTTAACCAATGAGTTAGCCCGGCCCCGGTACTAATTCATTGGACCCCTGAAGAGTCCGGGGTAGAATAGGTCTTCAGCAACCTATACTTGCCGTAAAAAGGCGACTATGCTTGTCGTAAAAGGCGACTTACGGGATCGGGTGGTCAGGCTTGCTGACTTGGTTGATACATGTCATCGACCCCAATTACGTAGATCGATGCTCATGATGTCAATCACTGGATTGTCTGGTCCAGATTCGATTATTTTACAGACCGCCGTCATATAGCTGGAATATTGCTGGGTGCGGCGTTAAACAACAAGCAAACAAACAAAACAAAAAAACTAATTCATTGAATCATGCAGATACATTCCATCTTCCCGAGCCAAGGGACTTAACTGGCTGTAAAAATCCAGTTTCAACTGGACTGTTATAGTCAGTTAACTACCTTGCCTCGGGAAGATGGTTAAATTCACACTGTTTGAGAGCCAACGTTTGGAGAAAAATTATTTCCAATATTGACAGTATTTAACATCGAAACACCGCATCCACAACACAAACATAAATAGAGAATCGCATCCGAGTGTAAAAATCGATAAAAGTTAAAAACTCCGAGGCTACCCGAGGATTTTAACCTTTTTTCAACGAATGTTGATATGTTTATATCAAAAGATACGAGGTAAAGATTCTATTAAGTATCTAAAATCAAGTTTTTTCAATTTGTAAACAATAGTCTTTAGTGTAAAACGTACAGATAACCAGCTTCAGTGTCAGAGAGATTTCATTGTCATGGTAATCAATGACATCACAATATTCTGCAAAGCATTATGATGCAATCTCATTGTAGTAGGGGGATCGGGTAGCCTTGTGGTCAAAGCGTTCGCTCGTCACGCCAAAGACCCGGGTTCAATTCCCGACATGGGTACAATGTATGAAGCCCATTTCTGGTGTCCCCCGCCATGATATTGCTGGACTATTGCTAAAAGAGGCGTAAAACCATACTCACTCACTCACTCATTGTAGTGATATCTCCTAGTGGATATCGCTTGATCTCACCCAGATGATATCTCCTGTAGAACACAGTTTTGGTTTCAAGTCCTTCTAAGCACATATCTACCAACTTGCAGGAGCCCATCGTTCACACTGCGGAACAGACGGTGTGTTGCGGGTGCTGCAGGGCCGGCTACTTCTCGCTCAACTACCACATCGACCGCCGCGGCTTCGTCCCCGGAGAGGAGATCCCCCTCACAGTGGAGGTGAAGAACAAGTCGAACAGCAGACTCCTGTCAGAGGTCAAGTTCAAAATGGTTTGTACTATGACCGCCAGTATGATTAATAGTGTAAGTGAATAGTATTGATACGACTCGCTGTGTTATCCACTCTACCCTACTGCCCTTTGCGATAGCGCTATCCAGCATCTTGAGCGTCTTCAGCGTTGTGTAAGTAACAGGTTTATGATTTTGCGCTCTAAGGCTCCTAAAACTACTTAATGTGCTAGTATACGCTCAAGTATAATCTTCTTTATATAGGAATTACGCTGGCTCCTTCAAGGGCTCACAAGGTCGTATATGGGGTCGTCTGGTGGTTAAGGCGTTCGCTCATCACGCCGAAGACCCGGTTCGATACCCTACATAGGTATTCAATGTTTGAAGCCAGAGACCGTATGGTCTCTGATGAAGCCCATTTCTGGTGTCCCCCGACGTGATATTGCTATAATATTGCTAAAAGCGGCGTAAAACTATACTCACTCACTAACTGAGTCATACATACGTACAATTTGACGTCACCAAAATGATTCTGACTGTTTTCGTATACACTGAAACCCCGTCCACATTAACGATAAGTGGTTGTGTGGCGACGTTCCAGTGGTTGTCATATATATAATGTGAATATATACTTGTACAATGGGCCGGTGTCCCCATTACCGAATAAACAATACAATACAGTTGTCCGGATAGCGGGGTGTCCGTGTACGACAGTGTACTGCACATAAACTGCGTGTTGCTAGGTGACGACGTATTTCGCCCACGATGACTCCAAGAAACAGGAGGAAGAACTGGACAGGTTCGACATGGACCCGGTGACCGCCCACAGCTCGGGGGTGCTGAAGACCACGGTAGACATCCCACCTACACCACCCTCTCATCTCATGGGCTGCAACATCATCGACGTGGACTACATCATCAGGGTACGGTCGTTTGTAGACTAGCAAGTCAGAGCTGTAATGCCGAAGGTGGCTGAGGGGTTGCAGAAGCAGCATCTCCTCTACAATATATTTTTCTGATGCTGATTGAAATAAATTAATACATATAATACACAGTGATGGTGCATAACTACAGAAGCAGTGAAAGTGGTAACAGTGGTCGTTGTGGTAGTAGTAGTAGTAATAATAATAATAATAATAATAATAGTGGCAGTAATAGTGGTAGTAGTAGCAGTAATAGTAGCAGTAGTAGTAGTAGTAGTAGTTGTAATAACGGTAGTAAAAGTAGCAGCAATAATAGTAGGAGCAGTAATAGTAGCAGCAGCAGTAGTAGCAGTAGTAATAGCAGCAGTAATAGTAGCAGTAGTAGTAACAGTAGTAATATTAGTAGCAGTAATAGTAGCAGTAATAGTAGCAGTAGTAGTAGTAGCTTTGATAGCAGTAGTAATAGTAGTAGCAGTAGTAATATTAGTAGCAGTAATAGTAGCAGTAGTAGTAGTAGCAGTAATAGTAGCAGTAATGTAATAGTAGCAGTAGAAATGATGTAGTAGTAGTAGTAGTAGTAGTAGTAGTAGTAGTAGTAGTAGTAGTAGTAGTAGCATTGACGGGATGCATGAACCGCCGTTCCCAGGTTCCCAAGTAGTCTCCTCTTTGGGTGCTGGGGATCTAACCTGACCCGGGTAAGAATAGGTCCCCAACATTCTATGCTGTGATGGACTTAATGGATCGGGTGGCCGGTGACACAGTTAATGGCTTGTCATCCTACCCCGATGGCGTGGGTCGTTGCACTCAATATCAATCACTGGATTGTCTGGTCCCGACTCGATTATTTACAGGCCGCCGTCATACAGCTGGAACATTGCTGATTGCGGCGTTAAATAACAAGTGGTAAGCGTACAATAGTAAAATACGTAGTGCCTCACAGAAGGAATATGGAAACGCAATAAGGATGTAAAGGAATTATATACTATGCAAAAACGGTAGGGGGGGATTTTGTTTTGAGGTGAAACTACAGAAAAATACACACACAAAAATGTCTGGCAATGAAGAAAGTGATTTATATGGCAAGAATATTTCAGAGGAAATCAAGCTCCGAAACACAGCATGGTGACAGTCTCTAGTATTTCATAGTTGGACATACAAAGCATAACATTCACAAGGCCTTCTACCAATATGTTTCTGCCTTACAATATCCCATCTTTGATCTCTTGAAATGTAATAACAAATGTTTCAGGGTTGTGATTCACTTGCAAAAAGAAAGAATATCAACGATATCTACTATAACCATAACAGTACTGTATTGGGATACGAATCGTATCACAACCATAGCATCGGGATATGTATCGTATCGCGACCCCACCGTATCGTTACACCCCTACCTTTTTGTTATAGTATATGTATCAGCTTTGAATGAATTATTTTAGTGTTGTCTTATACTGTGTTCTCTACTCAAATTACAACAGATTATTTATCATTGTCTATTGTCTTATTGCCTTCTATAGTTGAAAATAGTCCCTGACGGCTGCAACTGTGACAGCATCGAGTTCCACGACGAGATCCTCATCGGCACAATCCCACTACGACACGTGGTGGTCCGGATGTTGGGTGGAGAAGGATTATTCAACCTTACTGGTGGCCGGGAGCAAAACGATATCCCCTCACCGGGCGCCACGCCCTTTCCATGTAACGGCACATCGGGGCCGGGAGCCACGCCCATCCAGGACCCAGGTTCTCTAACTGTGCCAGCAGCAACATCGAGTCTCGCCAGCATAGCAATGCGTAAGACCCATCTTCATGTCTGGAGCACATGATGAGTGTGAAAAATGAATGAGTGTTAGTGTTAAAACCTCTCCCAACACTACGTCACTTATCTCATGGCGCGACAGCGTCAGAGGAAAACCCTAAGTGAAGAGTGCAGGCGTTAACTATTTGGGGGGAAATCCAAGAGTTCTAACAAAATGTCACATTCGGAAAGAATTTTGGATTCGAACACACGACCAATGGTGAACATTTGTGACCAACTTGTGTTATTCCGATCCAAGCCCATCTTTCCGAGGCAAGAGAGTTAACTGACTATAAAAGTCCAGTTTCCACCCTTACCGAACTAGGCTGGTATTATGGAGTTAGATTTTGGCTGGACTGACGAGTCTATGCAAAGTCCAATCAAAATCGCGCACTGAAATCAAAATCCGGTTCGTAAACTGAAATGCAGATTTCGGTCGATTGCAGGGTTTGCAAAGCATGTACACCGCCAACTCGTTGTCAACAGATATTTTCCAAATCTTTTCATGTTTTTAATCAATGTGCTCACGTGATTTGATGAACTTCGCGATGCCAGACCCGTTTTATCACATTATAGACCTTGATTATCGATCAGATCGTCTTGACTGTAAGCCGCCATTTTGTTTGAAGCAAAAGCAAGTGATACGAGAGGTGGAATCTGATTGGTCCATAGGAGAGGCATAGAAGGGACATAACTCGTAATAGCCACTGGTGTCGCTACGATCGAGCCCAGGAATTCCAGCCTAGTTTGGCAAGGGTGGAAGCTGGACTTTTAAAGTCAGTTAACGCTCTTGCCTCGGGAAGATGATCCAAGCCTTGTAATTTACGGGAAAAGGCGAGGGGAAAGAATGGGGACGTTACGGTAAGATGACGTGACGCTACTTGACGAAGATTCGAATGGTATGCTTCCCGAAGCAGGACGAGATCCTGCAATGTGAAGTGGAATGCATGATACGCGTCTTGTTCATTTCGTAGTAAATGCTAAATGTGTTAAAAAGGTTAGTTAAAAAGATTACATTTAAACGTATACGTCTTATACTAACGCTGACACATAACGTCAAAGGGGAGATAATTACAATTGATACAGATATATTTTTATAAACATTATTTTTCTGTTTACAACGCAGCACCCCCTGTGTATGCTAAATGCGTCCACATCAAGGGTAGCAAGCTTGATGACGACGACGTAGCGACGTCGGGAGACGCCTTCACGCCTCAGTACACGTTCTACAACTGGAAGCAGCTGATGGCACGGATGAAGGAGCAGGCGCATCATCCACCACGTGACCAGATGATGGAGAGGGACGAGACAGACGGCAATGTCAACACTCAGGTCGTTATTGAAAACGGCGCAACACCGGAACCGGAACAGCCTAAGGATTCTGGGACTACAGAAAGTGACGTAAATGTTACACTCAACGCGAGACAAGGCACAAACATGACCGTGAGGTTTGACACTAGTGTCAATGAACTACACGCAGATGACGATGGGAGAGTATAGGGTGGACACGTTAAGTCTTCCCTGTGACCTAAAGATGAGGATGAAAACGACTGAGTAAAAAACGCTCCCCAGTCAACTACCTTAACAATCATAGTCCAGTGATTGTGGTCGTACAACATGAAGGTCAACACGGTTGAGTTTATTTCTATTCTCATCGGACAGCATGCAATATCATGTTATCAGCAGCTGGTTATGTGTCACAGTTACCCAACGTACGCAACACTTTGTAATGAAACCAACACACCCAACCTCCATTCCCACCACCACCACCCCAGTAAATTACAAGCTTGCATTCGGAGCTCACAGGAACTGTGAAGATCTGTGAAGATCCGGGGTAAAATCGGTTTTCAGTTGCCCAGGCTACTATGCTTGTCGTAAGAGGCGACTAACGTCAGACTCGTTGGCTTGGTTGGTGCATGTCACCGTATCCCAATTTCGTGGATCGATACTCATGATGTCAATAACTGGATTTTCTGGTCCAGACTCGATTATTTACAGACCGCCGTCATATAGCTGGAATATTGCTAAGTGCGGAGTTAAACAATATACAAACAAAACTCGTATAGTTCTTCAACAATGTAACGACAATGACAATGATTATGTCGGAACAGTGTTGTTTTCAAAAAAGCTTTTTGGCGAGCCTAAACACAAATGGATTGCATTATAGCGGCCAAAACCAAGTAAACCAACATCTTCCTTGCCTCTCTATTTCTTGGAAGTTGACCTACCATTCAGGATCAGAATTGGCCCTCAGTACCTCATGTTTGAGGTGACATACTTCTAAAATGGGTATTCGGTGGTCAGGCTTGGCTGATTGTGTGTCATTGCACCCCGACTCCACGGGGCGTTGGTCATGCTATACACCACAGGCCCAGACTCGACTAAATACAGGCCGCCGTCACATTGGGGACAACGACGGCATCATAAAACCACAAACAAATGTGGCTTCCGCAGTATGTGCTGCTCATTGCCTTGTGGCTCAGATATGAGTTGAGGTGAAATGGGGTTTAACGTCGCGTCCAAGATTATTGCACTTATATAGCGACGTGCATGCACGTGTGTGTGTGTGTGTGTGTGTGTGTGTGTGTGCTTGTACTAGACCGGACTGATGCCGATTTATAGTGCTAGCTCACTGAGATACCATGCCGAAGTTTAACATGAATACCCTACTCAGACACAGTATACTGACTCCGAGACGACCAGTCCTTGTTTTAGCCCCTTAATGCCGAGCGCCAGACAGGGTAACAACAAGTTCCATCTTTTAACGTCTTTTGGTATGTGGCGGTCGGGGATCGAACTCCGGATCTTCCGCTCTCCGGGCGGACGCTCTACCACTAGACCACGGAGGCGGTCTTGTGGCTCAGAGGGGCAGTACTGCATGGACACGCAACTGGCAGTTTAATGACAGTACTCATTTTATCTTACTTGTTATTGTGAATCGTCAATACATTTGAAACCACACACTATCTACGGGTCCTTTATTAGTGTTAATAACAGATTTGCTCCTGTCATGGTGGAAGAACCTTCTTATGCAATGAACAATATGGCAATGTTTCTGAAATTTGTAATCTATACCTTTCTGATTTTCCGTGTTTACAGAGGCAAATGTTTCATACATTGTATACTGTGTGTGTGTAGAATTATTTGTACATATACGTTGTAGTGTGTTTGTCATTAAATACTGTTGATGTAGCAGCCATGTGGTACAGGATATTTCCCTCACTTCACTGTACATACATATTAAATCCGTAAAGATCCGGGGTAGAATAGGTCTTCAGCAACCCATGCTTGTCGTAAGAGGCGACTAACGGGATCGGGTGGTCAGGCTCGCTGACTTGGTTGATGCATGTCATCGTATCCCAATTGCGTAGATCGATGCTCATGATATCAATCACTGGATTGTCTGGTCCAGACTCGATGATTTACAGACCGCCGTTCATAAACCTGGAATATTGTTAAACAACAAACGAACCAAATGACCCATTATATATACAAGGAAGAGGAACGCTTGATGTCCGACTATTGGGATACGATGACTTGCACCAACCAAGTCAGCGAGTCCGACCACCTGATCCCGTTAACGTTAGTCGCCTCTTACGACAAGCCTAGACGCCTGTTATACGGCAAGCATGGGTTGCTGAAGACCTATTCTACCCTGTGTGGTAAACAAATGTAGTCTCGTTAGCTACTTCACTGGATGTGTCGCAATTTAATTGTTTATTAAATGATTCAAACAGAACACCATAAAACAATATAACCTTGAACACTGGCGTTATCCTGGCTAAAAAAAATACCCTTAATGGTCAGGCAGTTACCAGAATTCAGTACAAAAACACAGCACGATATGGCGGCGCATCGGTGGCGTGGCATAACTTACTTACAGCTATGGGACAGACCTCATCTATTGTGATAGTCGACTCACAGAGGGGTCATATTACCATGACGATGTTTGGACACCAGTGATGGTACCGTCTGCCCGGTGGGTTGTTGACCGTAGACGCCCAGCCACACACAGCTCGTATGTCAGCGGATGCTTTTAAGAATGGGAACATCCGGGTACTGCCTTTTATCAAGCAAATGGCCAATAAATGGTTTATCATCCTTAAATACGCTTTTGGTTCAGACAAGAAGACCGCGACAGACACTCTCACTCGATTTACTAAGTACATAATTGGCCTGTATTGTCATTTACCTCGACGTTATATGGCTGAAATAATTCCGATGCGACGTTAAATTGTAACTCAGTTGCGGGCATATATCTCTATAATTTGATATTGATACGGTAGATGAATTCCATCGTTTATGCCAAAATTTACATTTGGCAGATTGGAAAAGCCTCGAAACGCTATCGTGTCGCTCTTACATAGGTACAGCTAGCCTTCTAGAAACTGCCCCAACCCGAAACGTCTCCATCGATCAAGTCTGCTGTGTCAGGTAATCAGCAAGGGAAAGATGACATCTGGACGCTTCTCTCGCCGACGCTGTTGGCTGCAGTTCAAATCTGGCCACCACAGATTTTGATATTTTGTACTAGTATTTCAATATTTTGCTGCCACTAACAATTACAACAAATAAATATATTTACACAAAACCTACTTTGACGTAACAAGGTGAAATAGTTCCATGCACAGCATGCAGACGGGACGCGTTGATCGTGTTAAACAGTGCATGCCTGTCAATACACACAGACAGGGCGCACATGTTAAACCGTACCTGCCCATACGTACGGACGAGCCAAATTTTGATCACGTCGGAAATAGTCAAGTTTTCATTCAATGTTATCAACATTTCTCTTACTGCATAATGCTTTTCTCCAAATGGTATTTCGTATTTCATTTAGTGTTTCGTTTCTGCGCGGAGTTAAAGAGGCCAGTTTAATGACAACAGAGAATATTGAAATCAATAATGTAATGGAAAAAGAACTCGAAGAAGATAAATGAGTCTGACTGCTGTGTGACTCTGTGTGTGTGTGAGAGAGAGAGAGAGAGAGAGAGAGACTGTGTCAGTATGTGTATTTGTTAGTCTGTGTGTATGACTGCGTGTGTGTGTTTGCCAGTGTGTGTGTGTGAGAGAGAGAGAGAGAGGGAGACTATGTCAGTATGTGTATGTGTAAGTCTGTGTGTATGACTGTGCGTGTGTGCATGCGCGCGTGTGTGCGTGACACTCTCTGTGATTAGCTGAGTGTGTTTCCGTATCATGACTATGACGTATTAGGGATATAAGTTGTATTATGCGAACATGCGGCGAAATTATACGTATTTTATATTCCTAGTAGATGATATAGGCCACACATGAGTGTATGTATATTTTCTAAAGTACATATTTCTAATATATATATATATATATATATATATATATATATATATATATATATATATATATATATATTGGCTCGTTGACTACAATATGTTGTTTCGATCTATATTATAAGCCAAATAGTAACCAATAGTAAGTATCATTATATAACACTATAAAGAATCTTTATATAGACCCTCTGACCGAATACAAAACGCTTGAGGTTACAAAACAAACGGTAAAGAGTCTATCTGAGCTATTGAACCGTTCTCACATTCACGTATTTAGCCTAATAAGGTCAAATGCATTAGACCGCCTCTTTGGTCGAATGACTAGAGCGTCTGCCCGGAGAGCGGAAGGTCGGACATTCGATCTCCGTTCGCGTCATGCCAAAGGTGTTAATAGCGGTACTTGCAACGTTGGCATCACCTGGCGCTCGGCATTAAGGGGGCATTAAACAAGGACTGGTTGGCCGATACTGGTCTCCGCAAGCATCAGGCGGAAATAATGCTCTACGGGTACCCTATACCTACAGCCAAGTCAGTCAAGCATGTTGGTGTTATACTGACTGATGACTTCACCTCTATTGAGAGGACTCTGGAAGCGAGCAATAAGCTAAGGTCTTGTGTGTATTCCATGTCACGCAAAGGACTAGGTCCAAGTTTTGTCAGTCTTGTTTGAGACTTATCAAGACTGTGGCTCTACTGAAGTATCTCTTTGGATGCCAGTTGTGGGACTCTACCAGTTCTGCTGAAATCCTTATACTTGAGTGATCCCATCAACATGTGACCAAAGTCACCGTGAGACAATATGGACTGATGCATGCATTTGCCTGTTGGGACTACTACCCTTTAAGGCCGAGATTGATAAATGCAAACTTTTCTTTTTGTTGATAACCTCATCAATAAGGACCAGACATATCGTCTTCATCAGGTATTCATTATCAGACTACTATGTTATGTGCTGAGCCTATGCGAGAGACCACGTGGATATATATACCTGATGGGTGGATAGTCACGCAGAAGTCCAATCTGCGTAATGATTGGTTGGTTGGTTGTTTAACGCCGCACTCAGCAATATTCCAGCTATATGACGACGGTCTGTAAATATTCGAGTCTGGACCGGACAATCCAGTGAGTGATACCATGAGCATCGATCCACGCAATTGAGATCGATGACATGCATCAACCAAGTCAGCGAGCCTGACCACCAAATCCCGTTAGTCGTCTCTTACTACAATCATAGTCGCCATTTTCGGCAAACATTGGTTGCTGAAGACCTATTCTACCCCGGATCTTCACGGGTCCTGCGTAATGTACTAGATGAGTCCAGTGCCTGTCCACGGGCGCCTTTCCCAGTCAAAAGATGCGGAAACAAAGTGTAAAAGCTGCTGTTATAAGGTTCCATGAGACAGCTTGGTGTGAACGAATTGCAAAGGGTGGAGAACTGTTTTGGTTCTCATTGATGCGCAAGAAAATTATAGTTCACCCAGCATGGGAGCTGGCCCAGGCAAATCCCAGGCAAATCCTGCAGGACTCCATATCTGACTTCCTGATCCATATCTGTGCCTCTATATGAAATCTTAACGACGTGACACTCCTTTGTGAGAAATGTGGTAGAACCCACACAGACCCATGTCCAGGCAGTTGTTTACTGTGATGACCTTAATGATATACGTGATCAACTTCCGTGTGAACTGATCGGTATTGGACCGATAGGCTTTAGTGTATATCTCCAAAGCCCCTCTGTTATTCAGCTTGTGCTATGCCTCTGTCCTGTAAGGCCTGACTACGGACTGAACGAAGACGAGCCTGAACAATTCATCTCTGTGTACGTGAGCAGTGCCGTAGGGGGGGGGGGGGGGCAGTTGGCCCCCCAGGATTTTTTTTTATAGAAAACAGTTTTATTTGAATCATGAAAATACAAGTTGGGGACAAGTGATACTTGAACAAATATTTGCCCCCCTTCCTCCCCCCTGTCAAAAAACTACTACGGCCTTGGTGAGTTACGTACAACTGATGTGTAGAGGAACTCGCTGCACTGATACAAAATAAAAAGCATTGACACAATGTGCCAGTAAGATAAGTCACATCCAATTTTGTACATAACTACATAAACTCCTAATCATGTTATTGCAATCTCCCAACACGGGGGATTAATGAAGAATATATAACACTGTAAAACTCTCTGTATAGACCCCCTGAACGAATACAAAACGCTTCAGGTTACAAAACAAACGGTAATTGAGCCAAATTGAGCCATTGAACCGTTCTCACATTCACGTATGTATCCTAATAAGGTCAAATGCATTAGACCGCCTCTTTGGTCGAATGAATAGAGCGTCTGCCCGGGGAGCGGGAGGTCGGGGATTCGATGCCCGTTCGCGTCATGCCAAAAGACTTTAAAAGCGGTACCTGTTACCCTGAATTGACTGGTGCGTCAACCGAGATTAGTCCTTACTAGTACAAACGGGCAAATACACGCGTGCTTTCACGTCGCTATATTAATGCAATAATCTTGAACGCGACGTTACACCCCATTTCACATCGAAACCTCAAATACATTAATTATTTATTACAAAATATCTTTAACAACACTCAGTATAAGATCGATGAACGACATAAACAAAACATGGATAAATTGACGACGCGATGAAAATGAAATTTTATTGACACACTTGAGTCAAAGATGGTCGAATACAAGTCAAGACCTCATAATCGCTTTTGAAAGTATATTATGAATGCTTCAAACAACTCTAAACAGTTTTTAGCGGTGTGCATTTACAATATTTAGAGTTACCGTTCACAAATGAGTACGCATGCGTTTCATTCATCATGGCCGATAGCATAACAAACAGCCTGTCAAACTGCCTCCTATCTTGACATTGAAAGGCTTGTTGTTATACATATACACTAAAATGGCGTCCGAATTTTCGCCAGAGATGGTGAAGTCTCTGAAACAAAAGGTATTTACATCTGCAAGAGATGGAATGGCTATCAGCATTTTCGCAATGCTGTGGAATCTGGATGCCAAGATCGTCGACACGGTTCTCAATCATTACACAGAAGAGGACGGGCAGAAAACAACGCCCCTCATCATAGCAGCCAGAAACGGTGAGGACAAAGTTGTACAAGTTCTTCTCAGCAACTTCCGTGTAGATCACGAGCAGACGGGAACTGTCAAGTTCGAAGGTTATGTGATCGAAGGTGCGACAGCGTTATGGTGTGCAGCTGGTGCAGGCCATTTCGGCGTCGTAAAGTTTCTTGTGGAGCACGAAGCCGACGTGAATCACCCAACGCTTACAAATTCAACGCCACTGCGTGCAGCATGTTTTGATGGTCGCCTCGACATAGTTCGGTACTTGGTTGAACATGGTGCCGATTTGACCATAGCTAACAAGTACAATAACACTTGCTTGATGATCAGTTGCTACAAGGACCACCGTGACGTTGTGACGTTCCTGCTGGAGAAAGGGGCAAACCCAGACTGCAAGGCTCATTGTGGGGCAACCGCTTTACATTTTTCTGCTGAATGTGGTCACTTGGAAATTGTTAAAGAGCTCATCAAGTTTGGGGCATCCATAACTGAAAATGACCATAAAATGACCCCTCTTATTGTTGCTGCAGAATGTGGAAAGAGTCAAGTTGTGAAGTATCTCATCTCTTTACCTGAGTGCTCAAAGAAAGATAAGATAGATGCTTTAGAGGTTTTAGGTGCATCTTTTGCTAATGACAAAGAAAATTATGATATATCAAAAGCATATCATTATCTTAAATTAGCAATGGAAGAAAGGTACAGATATCCACATAATATTGTTCATAAGCCACACTACCCTCCTGTCCCAGCATATGACAACTGGGTAGAATGCAAAACAATGGATGCACTTGAGGCGATAGAAAAAAATTATGGAGCCCTTCACATGGAATCATTGGCCATCCGTGAAAGAATTCTTGGTGCAGATAACCCAGAGGTTCCCCATCCAGTGATATTTCGCGGAGCTGTATTTGCAGACAGCGCCAGATTTGACAGGTGTATTGCATTATGGATGCATGCCATGAAACTAAGGCAGAGAAATAACAGAGCCATTCCGAAGGATCTACTTCGTTTCTCCCAGGTCTTTTCACAGATGGTCCATATAGGAGTAAGACTTGAGTTCTCCCCCATCCTGGAAGTGCTAGACCATGCAGGGAAGGAGATTGAGCGAGATATGGAGAGAATGGGAAAAGAGGATGAAGATTATCTGGCCCTGGTTGAAATTTATCAAACTAACATCCATACTTGCCTCTATCTGCTTGTAATAGCACTGAAAGTAACCAAGACCAAAGAAGAATTACATCAGCTCCACCAACTGGTGTACAGGTTTTTGAGACTGAAACCTGCTCTCAAGAATGGCTACTCAGCTCTTCACATGGTTGTTGATAGCGCAAGCATTGTTGATGATTTCCATGTCAACGATGTTGTGTCCTTTCCAAATTCACCACTAGCAGCTTTGTTAGTTCGCTGTGGAGCGGAAATCAATGCACAGGATCATGTAGGCAACACACCTCTCCATGTTATAGTACGCTACAATGACCCAATAGATGACTTTGACACGCTTCACCAGATAATACTGTCTCTGATTCGTGGAGGATCTCATCTAGATATGCGTAATTCGGAAAGGAAAACACCAATGCAGTGTTCCACAACTGGAGTGGCAGAGGTGATTCTCAGACAACACAATCAGATATTTCTCAAATGTTTAGCAGCCACTGCTGTAAGGGTTCACAACATCTGTTACAAGGGTCTTATTCCTCAGTTTCTGGAAGAGTTTATTGAACTGCATTGAAACTTCGGAATGACTGTCTTCATATTGTGATACTGGTGTAGTAGCTGAAAGTGACTGCTTTAGTTTGACTGTTTAGTTTGTTAAAATAGCCATGAATTACAATATAAACAGACAGTGTTGATTTCTGCACATGTGCTGTTATTGCCACTTTACACACATGTGAATGCAACTAGTCATTAGCATATCTGAGTGCTCCTAATGTCATGGAAAGTTTGTTGACGTTGTTGACAGAGTCTAATTTTAGTGTATATGGACTATGTAATCTGTTCCAACTTTCTAATCTTTTTCTGATTCATATTGAATTTTAAAATTTTAATATGAATCTGACACTCCAATATAAATGTTAAACCAGAGTGCATCTTCCTAAGGCAAGGGAGTTAACTGACTTAAAAGTCCAGTTTCCACAATTTCCATTATTTGGCTCTATCGTAGCACCGGCAGTTGCTATTATGATTAATGTCCCTTCTATGTCAATTTCGTTACAGGATTTTGATTGGACTCTGCATAGACTCTTTAGTCCTGCCAAGATATGACTCCATAATACCAGCCTAGTTCGGCATGGTGGAAACTGGACTTTTATAGTCAGTTAACACATGTAACTCCCTTGCCTCAGGAAGATGACCAGAGTGTACATGGTGTATATTTCCACAGTCTAATAGATTTCATGTCAATGTTGTTGTCATGTTTGGTTTATGGATGGTGCTAGCTGTATATAGACAGATGATATGAATGTTGGACATAACAGAAGACAAAATTGGACAAGAAATTAAATACATTGTTTGGCATTACTCTGCCGTGTCTTGTAGAGAAACGGTGCTTATTGTTGTTACCATGGTTACAGTTTCAAGACCCTTGTAGTGCAGGGCTCAATAAGCTAATTTTTTCAGGAAGCCAACATGACAATGCTTTGCTAAAACACTTGTCCAACAAATAATTGGCTAGACTACAAAACATCATGCAAAGTTTTCACACCTTTTTCCTACACTTTCCTACCAATTTTTGTCTGTCATTCTGTTATGTGTCAGCAATAAGCTTGACGATGAGACGGACAATTCATATATTTTCCACTAGCCCATTTGCTAGCTAGTTGGACCACCTGAAGTATGGAGGGGCGGGCGGGTAGCCTAGTGGTTAAAGCGTTCGTTCGTCACGCCGAAGACCCGGGTTCGATTCCCGACATGGGTACAATAAGTGAAGCCCATTTCTGGTGTCCCCCGCCGCGATATTGCTGGAATATTGCTAAAAGCAGCGTTAAACCATACTCACTCACTCACCTGAAGTATGGGATTATTGGTTCAATTAAGTTTACTGTACTTGACTATTATATTGCTCCAAGCAGAACAACTTTCTCATTTGATACACATGAATTGAGATGTAGATTTACATGTATGAATATACATTCATTATATTTGTAAGTTGTAACTGAATTATGAAGTTTTCCAGTTCAATTGTCTAAGTATTGAACCAGAGGTTCTCTGTATCTGATTCCATGCTGTATTTGATATGTCTGCAAATCATCACAATATGATTGTCTAGACACACATTCTACATACTGTACAGGTCCAGTTAGGCTTGTTGTTTGCATGATGCCAAATACAATATGATTGATTATGAAAGTTGAGCAAGACTGTTTATTGGGCACAGCAGCTTTTAATGCTGATTGGCTCTGGGTGCAGGCTGTGGAACTCGCATGCCACTTCGATCCTTAGGGTTAGTTGTGTTAGGTATAGCTCTGATCAAACACAACATTTGTGATCCTTAGATTTGGCCACCCATTGCCAATCAAACATGCCTTTACAATCCTTAGGATTTGCCACCCATTGCCAATCAAACACGCCTTTACGATCCTTAGGATTGGCCACACATAGCCAATCAAACATGCCTTTACAATCCTTAGGATTGGCCACACATAGCCAATCAAACATGCCTTTACAATCCTTAGGATTGGCCACACATTGCCAAACACGCCTTTATGATCCTTAGTGGTTAATTGATTGGGGTGTGGGTAAACTATCTCAACTCTTTTAACGAATTAATCAAAAATAATTTGGTAATCAATTGGGTGCTAATTACTATGTAAACAGTCACTAATTATTTGTGATAGTGTGATAAAGTGTTGGCTAATTAGATTACTCATTAGTCTAGCTGGGCTTCAAGCTGGCACTGCAAGTTGAATCCTCCATGCAGTGCTAATTGAAAACAAAAAATGTATGCCTTGTTGGTTGTAAGGTGCAGTTTTCCGAGAGTTATTGAAAACTGGGTTTAATAAGTATTGACTGTCAATTGGATAACTTCTTTGCAATGCTTGTCTAGTTCTTTACACAGAATATTGAGTGTATATCTGTATGCCATTGAAACATGTCTTCCCTTTATTGTGTTTGTCTTCCTGAACATGTACATACCGGTACTGTTCAGTGGTGAGTGCTATGAGACTTGACCATGTCGAAATACCCGACACAAAATGTGGCAGAAAGTATCAGACCTATTCACATTTCAGTGAGTCATTACAGTAGGTACAATCTGTCAATGTCATTACTACTTATTATTTACCCATTCCAATGTAATTTGAAACAAAATATCTTGTTGTTGATGTCCATGATGGCAGATAGTGATGTTGGTCTGTTGTTTGTATGCAGCCATTGTCTTACTGTGCTGAATGCCTGGAACCTAGACACTAGAAGCTTGGACAGTGAGTCTTTCATATTCCAAGAAATACCGTATTTGACGTAATAAGCGCCTATGGCACTCTCAAAATTAGAAATGGGGTCTCTTATTAGAATATTATTTTGGTGAAAAATACAGAGTTGAAAGATAAATTTCGTGGTTTATGCTGACAGCCTGAAATGTTTACATACGACAGATATATTTTTCCAGAATTTTATTGCCCATAATTAAGGGTGCATATAACACACAAGTTCATATTATACACGAATAAATAAGTCTTTTGTGCATTGATCAGTCGGAAGGGGTGCTAATTGGGATTGTTGTTCACTAGCCAATATAATAGCAAGTATCGCCGTGGGCGCTTATTAGAGCGGGGCGCTTATTACGTCGAATACGGTAGCTGGTTTTCATCATGTTCACAAGAATTAACCATCAGTGTGAGATGGAAAGTGCTTGCAGCCTCTGAGGAGGAAGTTCGACATGCTCAGGTAGCAGGCATATGGCTTGTTAAAAAGCTGTCAATACTTCTCACATGTCTAGTGCCAGTGCGTACATGTCATAGTCATTAGCCTTCTTTAGGAGGGAAGCAAAAAGACATAGTTTGTTGTGTTTGTTTATCTGACCTTATGAATCATTGAGTACCACTTTACAGTAGCATAATTGGATTAGACCATAGAAGAGGTTTGGCCATGTTGTATTTGTTACAGATTTATCATTGTGTGTTGCAGTTATTTACAATTAGAAAACTGAATGTAGAATGGAGTAGAAACCAAACCTCAACTACCGTATTCGATGTAATAAGCACCCAGGGCGCTCTCAAAATTTGAAATATGGGGGCTCTTATTAGAATATTATTTTGGTGGAAAAAAACAGAGTTGAAAGATAAATTTCGTTGGTTATGTTGACAGCCTGAAATGGTTATATACAACAGAATTTAATTGCCCATATTTAAGGTGCATATAACACACGAGTGCGTATTATACGCAAATAAATAAGTCTTGTGTACACTGATCAATCGGAAGGGATGCTAATTGGGTTTGTTCACTAGCCAATATATTAGCAAATATCGCCGTGGGCGCTTATTAGAGCGGGGCGCTTATTACGTCGAATACGGTATGTTGAGTGTACATAAGTTGATGTTCTTGATGATCATACATGATGTTCTTCATGCCTGATGATAATGGAAGTCCTGTGCATGTTAAATTTGACAGATCCACATGTTAATGCATTTCAATGATTCCTCACTCATGATCATTCATGGTGTGTGGTATAAGTGTCTGTATGTGTTCACTGACTGTACTTCCTACATATCCACCTTTGCTCAAGCTCTGCTCTCGTGTTCCTGCTCAGTCTTTGTTATGACTGTTATCGACTGATTCTCCATGATTTTTCCAGGACTGCATCTCTTTTTGTCTCGTTCACTCTCCCATGATGAGAGTGAGAGTCGTGCCTCACATTACTGACATTTGAACATATGGCATGTTTTGTACCTGTTCAGTGGTACAAGTGGGTTCCTAAAGCATTTAAAGACCCTGTGTATAGGGTAATTATCACCATTGTCACCACTTTGCTCTAAATGAAACGGGGACGGGTGGCCCAGTTGTCTAAGGCGCTGCGATTCGCTGTGCAGAGTTGCGTCCCTTGGGCACGCCAGAAACCTATGATTGCGGGTTCATATACTGGATTATGTTTCTAGGTTTGTCAGCACCATACCCATGCGCATGGGTTTCACCGAAGAGATGAGACCTGCATCACTTCGGGCTTTCCTCCCACATTAAGTTGACATGCCACGATATAACTGTAATACTGTTAAAAGTGGCGTTAAACCCAACTCACTCACTCACTCTAAATGAAAAGTGTTCAATATCACAAAATAGTTCAACTGTATTGAGCAGCTATCTTTGAGCCAATTTCATGGTGCTAACACACAAATGAATTTGGCCCCAACCAGACCAGTATTACTATTGCCTGCTAAAAAAGTTTGTGGTTATCGTGGCTCCAGACTGCATTGTCTGAGCAATTCTGTATTCAGGTTTGGAAGAATAGAGAACTTGTTCCTTCCTTTGAATCACCATCCTTCCTGGAAGGCAGTATTTCCAGACTGATCAGGTTAAAATTACCTGGTAATGTTGTTACCTTGAATAGGGGAGTAGTGGTATATGTAGAAATGATTTTCATGATTATCACATTTTAAGATAATAACAAGCATCTTCAATGTCTCCAATCTATTGACTTAAGTTTTACTATATTGGTAGCTAGGAGTTTAAGGCAGAATCTTCCTAATTAAGATTCGTAATTGTTTAGTTTTCATTGGCTGGGGTTGGTCAGCTGCCTCTAGTTTGTGATACATGTATCATGTAAACGTATCTCTTCAAATACAGGGCGGTCGGGGAGCCTAGTGGGTAAAGCGTTCGCTCGTCAAGCCGAAGACCCAGGTTCGATTCCCGACATGGGTACAATGTGTGAAGCCCATTTCTGGTGTCCCCTGCTGTGATGTTGCTGGAATATTGCTAAAAGCGGCGTAAAACCATACTCACTCACTCACTCTTCAAATACATGAACATCTCTGCAAACGAAGCTGTTAATACAAGAAGTTACGGCTGATAAGTTCTATCAAGGGTTGATCCATGATACCTATTGCCAACACTGGGAGTCGGTAGGCCGCCTCGTCCGAGGTGCTGCAGTTCAGTTCCACCCCCTAGAAACCTATGATCAGGCGTTTGAATTCCATTTTCGCTCTGATCGTGTGTTTTTATTGTTGGCACCATAGTCACGTTCGTGTTTTTCACCCAAATGGTGACCTGCATCAGTTTTTGACACGCCATGATTGAACTGAAATACTGTTCAAAGCAGTGTTGAAACAAATTCAGTGACTCAATTACCAGTATTATGAAAACCAGTGATATCCATCAGCATGTTAGAGTGCACAGCTAACTTTATGTCAAGGAGTTTACGAATAGGTATCTCGGCCTGTGAAGATCCAGGGTAGAATAGGTCTTCAGCAACTCATGTTGCAACCCAAAGGTGACTATGCTTGTCGTTAGAGGTGACTAACGGGATCGGATGGTCAGGCTCGCTGACTTGGTTGATGCAATTGCATGGATCGATGCTCGTGATGTCAACCACTGGATTGTCTTGTCCACCGCCATCATATACCTGGAATAATGCTGAGTGCAGCGTTAAACAACAAACAAACTAACAAAAAACTAATAGGTTTCCACCACTCTTGTTGTAAGAAGGAAGTACATTGTATCAACCACTAGTTTGTCCACATGGTCCAGCCCCGGCTTGAATCCAGCATCTGTCAACTGGTGTAAAACACAAATATGTACTTCTATCTGTCCATCTGCATCATGATGTAGTTGGTTGGTTGGTGTGTTGTTTAACGCCGCACTCAGCAATATTCCAGCTATATGACGGTGGTCTGTAAGTAATCGAGTCTGGACCAGACAATCCAGTGATTGATATCATGAGCATCGATCCACGCAATTGGGATCGATGACATGCATCAACCAAGTCAGCGAGCCTGACCACCCGATCCCGTTAGTCGCCTCCTACGACAAGCATAGTCGCCTTTTACGGCAAGCATGGGTTGCTGAAGACCAATTCTACCCCGGATCTTCACGAGTTGCATCATGATGTAAACTAGGTGACAGCATGAAGCTGAGATGAGCAAATTGTGGCTCAGGCATTATTATTATTATTATTATTTACCAATTCTTTAGCCTAATAGTCAATGTAGGAGGTTGAAAAAGTTTTCGGAATAATTTTCAACTTGCAGATCAGTACTGCTACTAGTGAATGAAAAACAAACTCGTAGGTCACACAATCACAGAAGTAAGATTGCAAAGCAATACTGAAATATATTGATTTTTATATGTTATTCATCATTCCTTACAAACAGCAGTGATAGAAAAAATCTAGTGTTTTTTCATTTCATTTGATTGTAAGACAGTCATCTCCAAAACATTGTCCAAAGTTATATATTTTTTGTCGGTCAGTCTCCTAACCCAACTAAAATATGATATATTGCCTGATGTCACAACTTCATCGACATGCTACATGTCTGTATATCTGCTTGGTCATAGGTTGTGTGGGGAGTTCAGTATATCAGCCTACAATTTGATCACTGAATATGGCGTATAATGATACAATATGTAGTCTGATGCTACATCATTGTCAGCCTTTGTATATACAAGTAATTAACGATTCAGTTATGTGAACTTCAAGAAGTGTGAAACTTTCTAACCTATTAATGAAATTGCACAGGTTCAAGTATTTATGACATACTCTAACCAGCTGATCGGAATGGCCCTTCAAAATGTCGGCACCATTTGTATCATAATGAAAGGGACACACCGTTAAGTCATCATGAATTGGGCAGAGTTAATCAGAATTTATTAAGTATACTGCTCAAAAGAAGTTAAGGATCACCCGATTCTTTCATAATGGTAAAGTTAATCTGTCATGACATGAGATTAACTATAGTAATATGAAAGAATCAGGTGATCCTTAACTTCTTTTGAGTAGTATATTTATTATTAATTGATAAAGATATGAAGATGAATGAATCTACACCAATAACATATATCTTTAAATGCACTTACCACCCACCATGACTTCAGTTAATATAAAATAATGTGGAGACAATTATGGGAATATCTGCGCTTTAAGATGACACATAATATGATGTCTGCAGTCCTGTTGTGTAGATACTGTATTGATGGAGTGTGGTACCACCCTCCCTGTCATCTCCGCATGGGGGGTCTCCAAGAGCTGTAGCTTTAGTAACTGACTGGTTTGTGAACACCTGCTGCAATAACATTTACATCCAAGTGATTCTGTGATGCTCATATTTTGCTTATACTTCTTTTGTTACTGGAGAATGATGATAAACAAATAAATATTTATGAATGAATTGTTTATTTCAGTTGTTGCTTCAGCTGTTAGGATAAGGGACTGAGCATTTATTTTTAGTATAAGGGGTGACTTGGCCCGGGGGTACAGCTAAAACTCTGTGTCAAGCACGGTAAAACATCATTGATGTCCAAAATACACATCAACTACATCCAAGCATTACCTGGTTATGTCTGCAAGCATTATCCTGTAGTTGGAAATGTTTTATTTTTAGGTTTTTAATCTGGATATGTATTGTACTACAACGTTAAGACATGCAGCAGACTAAAAAAGAAAGAATCTTGGCAGTCTTCCAAGATCTTGTAGGCAGGTTGCAATACATGACATGATGTACCACTGACAGTGGTGATAAGTACTTCTTATGTCCCATGGAATCCTGTGGGATAAAACAATCCAGTGAGTCTGTCATGCTGCAGATGTATAATAACATACTTGTGGGCGTGTCAGGGTGACCCAGGTCTGATTTCCCATGTGGTTAGGATGTGTGAAATTAGTTCGTGGTGAGCCTGCCCTCAGTATTGTGGTATCATGTGCATCAAAGAGTTCACGAAAATATTACTTCTACTTTGCAGACAAAATAAGTTAGGGATAATGAATATTTTTGGGATATATATTTTTTGTAGTGAAGGCTGAGCACACAATTTCATAAACATATCCCAAACTATTCATTATCCCATATTTATTTTGTTCAGTATATGAAACTTGATGTTTCACAATCTCATTAAATCAGCTCTTAGTGCTCGCTAATGTTACGCGTTGATCTGAGGACAACCCAACTAAAGGTCACTTCAGAATGTTTTTTAATCATGCAACCTCATAAAAGATTGACTCAAGTTATTCCAAACGACAATTACAGGCAGCACAACTAATTCCGTAAAAATCCTCATATATCTCGGTTCAATGGGATAAACATTTGAAACGGTAGGGACTTTCCATAACCCATGGGAAGTACTGCCATACAATCTCAATTAGACATTCCAAAATTTTTGTTTGTTCAGTTTTCAAATTTTGCATAGAGAACTTTGTCAAAATATATTTTAAAAAGTAGTATGTAATGGTAGTCGCCTCTTTGAAACTAGTGCCGTAATGCTCGAGAAAGCTGCTTTCTAACTGACCATTGACTTCCTGTCAGTAATTTCATTGGTTGGTCACAGTTAACGAAAGGTTGTTCTGGCGTGACCTGTAATGGGATGTCCTCAGATATTTGTGTAGCGGTAGCGAGCAAAATGATTTGATATTACAGAACCATATTGATGTACACGAACAAATAAATCCTTCTGTGTAACTTACTCCAGTATCTTCACAACAAACCCCCACAGAAGTGTGATGTTCCTTGTATAGCAAAAGAACATTTTTTATTCAGCCAAAGCAACTATTGATTTCATCTTGTCAATCAACATGTACACTCTTGAAACTCGTACCCCAGGTACATTGAAATATAACTGGAAATGTAGCATTGTCTTTAATGGATCACATCCTTGCATTGACAAGTTCTTTGGTTGTGTCAACTGTTAAGTGCTGGAACACACTGTTCAAACATACCTCAACATAACACACTAACAAGCATGTTGGGGTTATCACTGGGATACAAGTAGTTGAGATTGAGCCATTGTGACCATGTTAGCGAATGAATTGAGACCATTGTGCAAGTAGATGCATCAACTGACTGGAGTGACCGATTGGCTTCTTGATGTTGTCACTGGACTACTGAACCTTGAGGTGGACGCATCAGTTTGAAGCAGCTCCGAGGCAAGGGAGTTAACTGACTGTAAAAGTCCAGTTTCCACTCTTGCCGAACTAGGCCGGAATTTCTTGGTTTGATCGTAGCGCCAACAGAGGCTATTATGAGTTAAGTCCCTTCTATGTCTCTCCTCCTATTGACCAATCAGATACCCCCTCTGACATAACTTGCTTTTGCTTTAAAAAAATGGCATTGCCCAGTGAAGACAATCTGATCGATAATTAAAATTTATATTGTAATGAGACAGATCTTACTTTGCAAAATCACATCAAATCACCTGAGCATCTTAATTAAAAACATGAAAAGATTTGGACAATAACTGTTGATGCTTAGTTGATGGTACCCATCCTTTGCAAATCTCGCAATTGACCGAAGTCTGCACAGCAGTTTACAAACCGGATGTTGATTTTTTTACGCAATTTTGATTGGACTATGCACAGATTTGTTAGTCCAGCCAAAACATAACTCCATAATTCCAGCCTAGTTCGGCAAGGGTAGAAACTGGACTTTTATAGTCAGTTAACACCCTTGTCTCGGGAAGATGCTCTTGAACTGGAAGGGCGTCCATTTCACTCATCAAGGCTTCAGCAGGTTCACAGTCACCTCACGACTTGACCGCTGCCCATTGAAGGACCTGAAACAGAAACATGTAGTGACTATTGACACTAACTACGATTGAGTCTCCTTACATCCACTCCTGTCATGCTGTTTACAGTAAGTATTTAACATCAAGCCAGGGAGCGTGTCTGTCCTATCAATCTCTCACCTTGTAATTAGGGTGACCTCCGTGGAGTCGGGGGGCACATCAACTGGCTGTGAGTAGCTGTTTACAGTATGTATTTAACTTCCAGCCAGGGAGCGTGTCTGTCCTATCAATCTCTCACCTTGTAATTAGGGTGACCTCCGTGGAGTCGGGGGCCACATCAACTGGCTGTGAGTAGCTGTTTACAGTAAGTATTTAACTTCCAGCCAGGGAGGTGTCTGTCCTATCAATCTCTCACCTTGTAATTAGGGTGACCTCCGTGGAGTCGGGGGGCACATCAACTGGCTGTGAGTAGCGGTGCCAGGTGCTGCGGCCGTCCCAGCTGTAGTACATGGGTAGGCCAGGGTAGGCACAGTTGGCTGTCATCACTCGACCAGCTTCCAACAGCCTGCAACACATCAAACACATCAGCTCTTACAGCTGAACCCGAGGTTATCCAAGTTCTGTTACTGAATTAGCAAGAACACCATGACCTTGTATATGCTGAGGGAGGCAGTCCCAGGGACAATCCAATTTCTGATCATGATTGTTTGTTTTTTGTTTGTTGGCTGTTTAATGCTGCACTCAGAAATATTCCAGTGGTCTGTAAATAATCCATTGATTGACATCATGAGCATCGATCTACGCAAATGGGATACGATGACATGCATCAACCAAGTCAGTGAGCCTGACCACCCGATCCTGTTAGTAGCCTCTTACTACAAGCATAGTCACCTCTTATTGCAAGCGTGGGTTGCTGAAAAATATTCTTTACCCGGATCTTAACAGGTCTTCTGTTCATGAAACAGAATTGTAAGTATTCATCTATTGAAATCCTTAGCTGCCATTGTAGCAATTCCCTAACTCATCTGCCAAACAGATACTGGCATATTGAAAAATTTCTTATGCAACAATTTTGTAGCAAGCATTTTTATTTTCAATCAAACAATAAGTCAAAGCAGCCATCAAGCCACTGACGTAAACATCAACCTAATACCAAAACATTTACCACAAACATGGAACAAAAATCATTAGACAATCGTGAAATGAAAAATGAAACCAGACTGATAAGAAGTTCATCTTTTGCAGACAACTACAGTCACAGTAGAACAAGTTTCATTTGATTATGTCCATACCAAGAATAAAAGCTGCAATTTAACATGTTCAAATTATTAAAAACAACCCAATACTGACAAATCAGCTTCCTTGAATTCCAGTTGTATTGTGTTTGTCATTAAATGCTGTTGATGTAGCAGCCCTGTGTTACAGGATATTTCCCTCACTTCACTGTACATACATATTATCCGTAAAGATCCGGGGTAGAATAGGTCTTCAGCAACCCATGCTTGCCGTAAAAGGCAGCTATGCTTGTCATAAGAGGTGACTAACGGGATTGGATGGTCAGGCTCGCCGACTTGGTTGATGCATGTCATCCATCCCAATTGCGTGGATCGATGCTCATGATATTATTCACTGGTTTGTCTGGTCCAGACTCGATTAGTAACAGACCACCCTCATATAGCTGGAATACTGCTGAGTGCGGCGTTAAACAACAAACCAACCAACCATTACGTAGATTGAACTTCTGCATGATTATATCCCCATCAGGTATATATATCCACGTGGTCAACAACAAATGAACCAACCAAATCCTATCTTCAATCTAAACAGTTGAGGGAACCTACCTAACTCCTGGTGGTGGCAGATAGTAAGTGATGTTCATGTCCTCCAGTGTAAGCAGCTCCTTGCTACCCAGGGTGCTAGCAAAATCTGCCCAGTCCTTCTGTCTTAGAACTTCCAGTTGGGATCGGTCTGTGACGTCCTCCCAGGATGCCTTGTGCCATGCCCGCTCTGCCAGTGCTATGATGCGAGGTGTGATCATCTCCTGCAGTTGGCCTGGCGTCCGCACCAGCTCACTCCATAGCTGCCCCTGTAGCCCTGCAGGAGGGAGGGAGCGTTATAGAAACAGCATGGGGTACTGTGGACTTCTACAAGGGAGGGAGTGTTATAGAAACAGCATGGGGTACTGTGGACTTCTACAAGGGAGGGAGTGTTATAGAAACAGCATGGGGTACTGTGGACTTCTACAAGGGAGGGAGTGTTATAGAAACAGCATGGGGTACTGTGGACTTCTACAAGGGAGGGAGTGTTATAGAAACAGCATTGGGTACTGTGGACTTCTACAAGGGAGGGAGTGTCATAGAAACAGCATGGGGTACTGTGGACTTCTACAAGGGAGGGAGGGAGTGTTATAGAAACAGCATGGGGTACTGTGGACTTCTACAAGGGAGGGAGGGAGTGTCATAGAAACAGCATGGGGTACTGTGGACTTCTACAAGGGAGGGAGGGAGTGTTATAGAAACAGCATGGGGTACTGTGGACTTCTACAAGGGAGGGAGTGTTATAGAAACAGCATGGGGTACTGTGGACTTCTACAAGGGAGGGAGTGTTATAGAAACAGCATGGGGTACTGTGGACTTCTACAAGGGAGGGAGTGTTATAGAAACAGCATGGGGTACTGTGGACTTCTACATGGGAGGGAGCGTTATAGAAACAGCATGGGGTACTGTGGACTTCTACAAGGGAGGGAGTGTTATAGAAACAGCATGGGGTACTGTGGACTTCTACAAGGGAGGGAGTGTTATAGAAACAGCATGGGGTACTGTGGACTTCTACAAGGGAGGGAGTGTTATAGAAACAGCATTGGGTACTGTGGACTTCTACAAGGGAGGGAGTGTCATAGAAACAGCATGGGGTACTGTGGACTTCTACAAGGGAGGGAGTGTTATAGAAACAGCATTGGGTACTGTGGACTTCTACAAGGGAGGGAGTGTTATAGAAACAGCATGGGGTACTGTGGACTTCTACAAGGGAGGGAGTGTTATAGAAACAGCATTGGGTACTGTGGACTTCTACAAGGGAGGGAGTGTTATAGAAACAGCATGGGGTACTGTGGACTTCTACAAGGGAGGGAGTGTTATACAACAAGCATGGGGTACTGTGGACTTCTACAAGGGAGGGAGTGTTATAGAAACAGCATTGGGTACTGTGAACTTCTACAAGGGAGGGAGTGTTATAGAAACAGCATGGTGTACTGTGGACTTCTACAAGGGAGGGAGTGTTATAGAAACAGCATGGGGTACTGTGGACTTCTACAAGGGAGGGAGTGTTATAGAAACAGCATGGGGTACTGTGGACTTCTACAAGGGAGGGAGTGTTATAGAAACAGCATGGGGTACTGTGGACTTCTACAAGGGAGGGAGTGTTATAGAAACAGCATTGGGTACTGTGGACTTCTACAAGGGAGGGAGTGTTATAGAAACAGCATGGGGTACTGTGGACTTCTACAAGGGAGGGAGTGTTATAGAAACAGCATTGGGTACTGTGGACTCCTACAAGGGAGGGAGTGTTATAGAAACAGCATTGGGTACTGTGGACTTCTACAAGGGAGGGAGTGTCATACAACAAGCATGGGGTACTGTGGACTTCTACAAGGGAGGGAGTGTTATAGAAACAGCATGGGGTACTGTGGACTTCTACAAGGGAGGGAGTGTCATACAACAAGCATGGGGTACTGTGGACTTCTACAAGGGAGGGAGTGTTATAGAAACAGCATTGGGTACTGTGGACTTCTACAAGGGAGGGAGTGTCATACAACAAGCATGGGGTACTGTGGACTTCTACAAGGGAGGGAGTGTTATAGAAACAGCATTGGGTACTGTGGACTTCTACAAGGGAGGGAGTGTCATACAACAAGCATGGGGTACTGTGGACTTCTACAAGGGAGGGAGGGAGTGTTATAGAAACAGCATGGGGTACTGTGGACTTCTACAAGGGAGGGAGTGTTATAGAAACAGCATGGGGTACTGTGGACTTCTACAAGGGAGGGAGTGTTATAGAAACAGCATGGGGTACTGTGGACTTCTACAAGGGAGGGAGTGTTATAGAAACAGCATGGGGTACTGTGGACTTCTACAAGGGAGGGAGTGTTATAGAAACAGCATGGGGTACTGTGGACTTCTACAAGGGAGGGAGTGTCATACAACAAGCATGGGGTACTGTGGACTTCTACAAGGGAGGGAGTGTTATAGAAACAGCATTGGGTACTGTGGACTTCTACAAGGGAGGGAGTGTTATAGAAACAGCATGGGGTACTGTGGACTTCTACAAGGGAGGGAGTGTTATAGAAACAGCATGGGGTACTGTGGACTTCTACAAGGGAGGGAGTGTTATAGAAACAGCATGGGGTACTGTGGACTTCTACAAGGGAGGGAGTGTTATAGAAACAGCATGGGGTACTGTGGACTTCTACAAGGGAGGGAGTGTTATAGAAACAGCATGGGGTACTGTGGACTTCTACAAGGGAGGGAGTGTTATAGAAACAGCATGGGGTACTGTGGACTTCTACAAGGGAGGGAGTGTTATAGAAACAGCATGGGGTACTGTGGACTTCTTCTTGTGGTTGTGACTAGGTGATGCTGGGATGTGTTCCGGCAAAATGTTTTTAGAAGCTGGAAACTTTGTTCAAGCATAAGGATTGAAAGAAGAAGCAAGAAATGCATCGTGTGAGATAGGAGAACTTTAAAAATTATCTTTTCAATAGGTTAGCCAGTGAGACAAAACACTATAAAAAGATAATCTGAAAAGTCTTTCCTATTTTTTTCCCTTCTACCGACCACATTTTTTTCACACAAAATGTGCAAATCAAGTTGAAATCATCCAGCCAACACACTTCTTACCAATGATATTCTCAGGTCTTGTAAGCATGCACTCATCCTCAAGGGAGAGTTTCTTCAGCTCCGCCTCCGTGAAAGGCTCCCCGGTCATCTTGCGGTCAGCGTTGGCATACAGTGTGTCGGGCATGAAGCTGAACACCTTGTGCGTGTCCAGATAGCGCCCTGACCAGTACAGACCCCTCTCCTCGGGGTGGGGCTCATAGGGGTGGTCAAAATACAGATGTGTAGCTTGGGACATCACCACCTGGGACAGATACACGACAACATCAGGAAAGGTTATTGTAAAACAAAGCGTAGTGTTGCTGTAATCTGATTGTTTTTTTAATGGGATTGGATCCTGAAAATATTTCACACTTTTCACTGCATATGAACACTTTTCTTGATTGGTATCCTTTTCTTTCTCAATTCCAAATTTGAAATAATTGGTTAGGAGAAATGGATGCCATATATATTATATCAATATTCACCAGAATAACTTTAATTTATTGTTTTTTACCACATTCTGCTAACCAGGTGGGTTTAAGCATGATGGAAGCTAGCATTGTATCGTGATGTCATAGCATGATTTCATAGCATTGTATCGTGATGTCATAGCATTGTATCGTGATGTCATAGCATGATTTCATAGCATTGTATTTTGATGTCATAGCTTTACAGCATGATTCCATAGCATTGTATCGTGATGTCATAGCATTGTATCGTGATGTCATAGCATGATTTCATAGTATTGTATTGTGATGTCATAGCATTGTATTGTGATGTCATAGCATTGTATCGTGATATCATAGCATGATTTCATAGCATTATATTGTGATGTCATAGCTTTACAGCATGATTTCATAGCATTGTATCGTGATGTCAAAGCATTGTATCGTGATGTCATAGCATTCCAGTGTGACTTCATGTCTGTTTCACAACTGAGTGTTCACCAAGTGAGGGAGTGCTATTGACAATTACTATTTTACTTTTGTTACCTCCCTTGCAGATACAGGCCAGCGAACATGTGGCCAATTCATTGGCTTGTTCTTCAGCACAACTAGCAAATACAGCGTACTTGCATTATTTCGCGATGGGACTTTTAAAAGAAAATTTTAGGGTCTGGAAGTGAACTTCAAAAGGTGCTAGAGTCAGAAAAGGGGGGCAATGGCATGTGGAATACATTATTTGAATACCATTGGAATATTTAAGGATTTGGGGTTGTTTTTTAAAAATGGAAATAAAAACGAAACGTGCAGTAAACTTTGATGATGTGGGCGGTGCCTGAGAACCAAGACTATTATTTTTTTAGCCTTAGCTTTACCCTGCTATGAGTACAGGACATTGTTGGGATCATCATGCAAAGTATCAGCTGGTGGTTAAAAGTTTAGTGGCAGATTACCTACAAATATACATAAACCTTTACCACTCCATAACTGATTTTATAGATATTTATAACCACAAGTAAATGTAACAGACAAAGCATGACAGTTGTTATGACATCAGCAGTACCAACCAGTGGAGACCGATGAGGACACCCTGCTCACCTACCTGGTAGCCTGCATTGGCCAGCTTTACCGTGTCCGAGGCCATGCCTGTCTCCCAAACATTCTTCCAAGCATAAACCACAACATTGTCATTGTCAAAATCGGATCGATCAAACAGCTCCGTCTTCTTCATCACAATCCCATCCTGCCACGCAGCAACATCTAGGCCATGAGACTTCACAATCTGAGCCACTCTCTTCACGAAGTATCCCATGAGCTCTGTGACCGAGGACACTTCCCCCGCTGTGATTCTTGCCTGACAGGCCGGGGATTCCAGCCACGCTTTATACGGAACCTCGTCTCCTCCAAGGTGAAACATCTTCAAAGGGGAAACACCCTCATGCATCGCCTTCACTTCCTTCACAATCTTGTCAATGAATGCGTATGTTGATTCACGCCCGGGGTCAAGGACATTGTCTGAGAACATCTGTACCGATTGAACCTTGAATGGGTTCTCAATATCGGACAGCAAATACTGACAAATTTCTTCCTCAGGTCTACCTTCTTTCCTCAGACGGCGACATCGGGCTGCCATGGCAACAATTGCAGCATGACTATGTCCAGGCATATCAATCTCAGGAATGACCTCGATGTGTCGACGTGCCGCTTCCTTCAAGATCTCTCTGTAATACCACATTTCAAAACACTGTCAGATGCCTCATCCCACCGCTGAAGATATATCTACCATCATCACAAGTGAGTGAGTGAGTTGGGTTGGGTTTAACGTCGCTTTTAACAGTATTCCAGTTATATCACGGCATGTCAGATTAATGTGGGAGGAAAGCCCGAAGTGATGCAGATCTCAGACGTTTACCACTTCGGTGAAACCCACCGAGCACAGGTGTGATGCTGACAAACTGTCTCATTTTTTACCATGATTCCTGGAGTGTTCCTATTACCATATTTCATAGATTTTTGTTGAAGGGGAAAGACAAATAAAATCTTTAAAGTGTAATAAAGGAGATTACTGGTCAACAGACATGGAGTTAATAGAAAAACTTCAAGGATTGTTTAGAATGGTGATACATGAAGCGTACTTGCTGATCTATCTGACCCAAGATAGGTGACGTGACGTGATGATGCACACATGAAATCAGATCTGACCAACATAGCTCAACCCTACCTGTTGGGGCTAGGGACGGGTAACTTGGGTCAGGTGGGCCCTGTGTAGGACCCGGGTACCCACTGTACTACCCGGACCCATGGTTAGTCACGTGATATACAATCTCATTAAAATCAGATCTTAGTTCTCGCTACCACTTGTTTAGTGGAAGCAAGTACTAAGATCTGATTTTACTGAGATTGCATGAAATATTGTTTAATTACAAAATCTCACAAGTCGCTAATGTTCGCAATTCTTTCTGACGATGCACACATTCCTTTGACTTGTCTTTGTTTGAGTAAAGGTAAAGCTTCAGTCACCTTCAGTGTATGCATTATCTGATTGTTTGATACATGTATCTAAATAGTATTAGCCATGGCTGCAGTATAACAATTCCCAATCAGACATTTTGATCCCAACTCGAGACCTACAGCGGGTACCCGGGTAGGGTCGGGTAATAGGGGGTCGTGTGCCCGGCTAGTGAATTTGGACTCATCCCCACCCTCCTACCTGTAGTCCTGTACTGTGTAGAACCCCGAGCCGGGGTACAGGTCAGGAGCAGGACCGGAGCCCAGGACGGGAAGCAGGAACTGTTTTTCCTCCAGGTCATGACCTCGCCGACCTCCGACCTGCGGAGCAAAACTGCTTGTTATGATTTTTCTCCAAACCATCACCCAACATGAGTGTTTAGAAACCAACTTCCCTTCCTTGAGTTGGGATCCATACATCCTTCTGTTTCCACTGTCATGTTTATACATATCAAACAGTTGTATGACGAACATGTTCTTGTCGCTACAGTTGTATTGGATACTCCCTGCATAGTTATCTCATTCATAATAATAATATCCTGTCTGAGTATGGTTTTACGCCGCTTTTAGCAATATTCCAGCAATATCACGGTGGGGGTCACCAGAAATAATAATAATAATAATAATAATCCATTTATATGGATGTACTCCATGCATAAGCTTGCTCTATGCGCTTAGACATTAATTCCCTGGTCAACTGATCAGTGTGCACTCAAACATCATTCTCAGCTCCCTGGGGAGTATACAACCCAAGGTGCCTGTTAGGCGCTAGAAGGTTATCAACCACATTGCCTGCAACCATACTTCTCGTACCTCGGACATGATTTCCGCAGTAATTGGCTGGTTGGTTGCTCTGATGCTCATGTGGATCAGACAATGCACTTTGAATGTGAACATGTATATTACCCTATCAACATGATACCATATGTGAATACCAGGTACTCAAGGGCCATGGAATCAATTACTTGTGAACATGACTAGTCTTAGTCTGCATATATCACAACACTAGAAGTCCACTAGTCTTAGTCTGACTACATCACAACACTAGAAGTCCACTAGTCTTAGTCTGCATATATCACAACACTAGAAGTCCACTAGTCTTAGTCTGACTACATTACAACACTAGAAGTCCACTAGTCTTAGTCTGCATATATCACAACACTAGAAGTCCACTAGTCTTAGTCTGCATATATCACAACACTAGAAGTCCACTAGTCTTAGTCTGCATATATTACAACACTAGAAGTCCACTAGTCTTAGTCTGCATATATCACAACACTAGAAGTCCACTAGTTGTAGCCTGACTACATCACAACACTAGAAGTCCACTAGTCGTAGCCTGAGTACATCACAACACTAGAAGTCCACTAGTCGTAGCCTGAGTACATCACAACACTAGAAGTCCACTATTCGTAGCCTGACTACATCACAACACTAGAAGTCCACTAGTCCTAGCCTGATTACATCACAAGACAAGAAGTCCTCTAATCTGAGCCTGAGAGAGCTGAGGCACCTGAGTGAGCTCCTCCAGTCCGGGAATCTGCAGTCTCCATCCCTCATCATCTGTCAGGTGGAGATGCAGCCGGTTCAGCTTGTAGCAGCTCATGACATCCAGCAGGGCCACCACCTCGTCCTTGGTGTGGAAGTTGCGGGACACATCAACATGCATCCCCCTGCACATGAAACACATCCCATGATTCAGGTTCTAATGAATAATGTGTTATACATTTTAAAAATGCATTGAAGAAAATCCCCGGAAATATAATGTAAAAATACTCTTGCCTCATATTTGATAAAATGTCAGAAAGATTTACCAAAGTCAAATACAAATAGACATACGACAATTTTAAAGTTCCTTTAATAATTTGAATATATGAATATATATATAGCAAACAGATGATTATTAATTATTAGCCATAAAGCTCCAAAATATTCCCTTGCTGAATGTAGGATAGACCCATGTGTGAGATCTTCAGCTTGACAAGCATTTTACCAACTTTACCCAAGCCCCCAATGTACATGAAGTGAAATACATAGCCTTCCAGCATCAGGGGAGTCATTGCTGGCTGAGGCAACTACTCTAGGACCTACCTGTACTGGAACCTTGGAAAGTCCACCACAGAAACAAGTGGGAGAGTTCCATCAGAGCTCCGCAGACTCAGGAGAGACCGTCCAGCATAGAAGATCCCTGCTGATGCTGGAGCCAGGAGTCTCACACACTTGGAGCCAATGTCCAGGCTGTAGGCCTCCTGGTTGTCAGCAGACTCGGGATCCGGAGGAGCCACGGAGCCCAGCATCACTAACACAGTTCTGTCACGCCCAGCTACCTCCACCTCACTACACTCTACCAAGTTCAGGCCAAGTGACTCTGTAACAGTCCATGAGTGAGTGAGCTGGGTTTAACTCTGCCTTGAAATTTTCTCAGTTATCATAGTTATATCACATGTTATTTTAAGTACAAAATCGGACTGGGTTACAAAATCTGAAATCAAAGTCATTGATATACCTTATTTTCTTGAGTATAGTGCGCACCGAAGTATAATGCACATTCCCCTCTAGGGTATTCATTAATTCAGAATGAAGATTTTACGAGTATTATGCACAGAAAAAAACTACACCATACCCCTTCAGGTAAACGAACGGGCGATAAGAAATTTGGTTAGTACAAATTTGAAATTTGAGATAAAAATCACCAGACATGTTGATTTACCATTTAAATTGTATTTTCTGTTCTGCTAGGCATTGTTTTACATTCAGAGATTGAGATTGCGTATGTACTTTCTCGTAAACTAAGCTGGAGTCTTTGGGGGGGGGGGGGGTAAAACCAATCAAAACTCATTATGGCGTGTACAATGCGCACCCCCGTCAACACAGCCGATGAAATGAAGACACTGATTGGAAGTCGTCTCAGACTTTGTAGCTTTGACGAGCCCCTATAAACTGTAGATGCTGGATGGTGTCATAGCAGCAGTGAGCTGTGACGTTGCCAGATGAGATCCATGATACCCATAAACTTCTCGTGAATCAGCGCAATGGAACCTCTAATAAGGGCACTTCGGAGGACTTGGTGTGCGACACAGATGCAGCGATGGCTTCTGTTGCCAACCGGATGGTTGTAATAAGCGGGATGGTAGGATCCAAATGGGCGAGATCTTGATCATCCACAACAGAAGATGTAGCGCTTGGGGCAGATAGTAGCAATATCACCATCCCATTCGGCAGTAGAAGACAAATCATGAGTTAAATGGAGGAGTTTGAAGGCAATCTCGTAAACGTCAAAAGGTAGCAAAGGCCTTGTCCAAATTACTAGCAACATCAGACAGGAGGGTTCTGGGAGGCAGCCTGTTGGCCTAGGAACCGGCGCTGGGTATGACAAAATACGGAAGTACTACTCTTCAACTGAAGTCTATCTGCAATCGTTGGAAGCATAACAGCCGGATTGATGTTGCCGTCAACCGACAAGGATGGTATGATAGACGTAGGAGGTGGTTTAGCTACCGCTATGCTGGAAGGGACAGACGGCTTGATGACATGTTTGGGCTTCTTGGCAGATGAAGGCCTGTGTTCCAGTTCTTAGATTTAGACCGGCGGTCAACATTACGCTTGTGGCATGTGCGTAACTGTAAACGAATAGCTCCTCCAAGAGATGAGAACACTGGGAACATCTGTGGTCCTTGGAGCAAAGGCCGCGACAATCACAGCACTGATCATGAGGATCAGCAGTGATCCTATGTAAGTACGGCTGCAATATATACAGGTTAGGCATTATTCATGTTCCGTTTCCATCCTCTTCTTCAGTTAGTGTCATAGATGTTATAACAAAGGAGGAGGTAGCTTACGCCATAAAATAAAAATGTATTTTCCAGAACTCAATACACGTCTCCACAGGGTTGCAATAAGAAAGGGAATGATGTGCAGGGATAGACAGGTGATAAAGTCGTGAAAGGTCACATGCACAGGATTTTAATGATTGACCCATTTGTGTAGGTGGTGACCATGGTGATGCTGTGATGTGTCTGAGTGTAATGTTTTTTGAAGCTGGAAACTGTTCAAGCACGTTTCCACATCAGTATGGAAAGAAGAAGGAAGAAATGTATAGTGAGTGATAGAATAAGTTTTAAAACTTGGTTTGTTTCTACCTTATTTCTACTCAAGCAACTCAAAATTAATTGAGTAATGGTTATTTTTTATTTAGTATTTTACGCAAATATGCAGCTGATCTGGAGATCTGGAGTGTTAGGCCTACTTTTCCGTCAGTTTTTGGAGTTTTCCCAAAAACATTAAGCTCGGTAGGAAAAAACAATGTTTTTCAACTCTGACAAATTTTCTTTTCCTTGCACTTTGGTCTGAAAAGGAAACGATTTGCATCTGAATGTACAAACTTCCGCCATTGTCCCTGTGATTTACTGCCCCTTATCGTTACTGTATTGCAAGATTCTAAAAATATATTTTCCTATTCTTTACAAAAGTGTTTTTGGTTAGCAGTGGTTGTTAACAAACCAAAGATATCTCACTAAAACTGGAATGAAAAATCTACAATGTCCTGCCTTTTACAGTTTTGGGTGAACATCAATATCATGTACAATGGATGAGTCAACCCTGGATGAAGGCATGATATCTCAACTAATATGTCATACCTGACAGGTGTCGTGCTTCATCTCTCACTTGGTCATGTGACCAGACGATCCATCCAGGCTCCTGCAGGTTGACCGGGTCACCTGGCCTGACCTCCAGCTGGTACGGTGTCGGAACAATCAACTTCACGTCTGTTTAAAGATAAAAAACAAACTCACATTAAACATCTGTTTCAGTTAAATAATCATCACCTGTAAATATTCCAGAGGAGTGCTACATTTTTAAATGTGTGTAATTATCACTATCACATACATGATCATGTAGGAAACGACCACAGGTGAAAAGTTGGTTGGTTTGTTGTTTAAAGCCGCAATATTCCAGCTATATGACGGCAGTCTGTAAATAATCAAGTCTGGACCAGACAATCCAGTGATTGATATCATGATCATCGATCCACATAATTGAGATATAATGACATGCATCAGCCAAGTCAGGGAGCCTGACCACCTGATCCCGTAAGTCGCCTCTTACGACAAGCATGGTCGCCTTTTACGGCAAGCATGGACTGCTGAAGACCTATTCTACCCCAGATCTTCACGGGCTACAGGTGAAAAGGGATTAATGGCGTGTTCAAGAATATTTCACCCATACAGCAACATGCATGCAAGTGTCCTGACTTATGCCCATTTCAGAGTGCTAGGTATCTCTAAGATACCATGCCCAGGTTTCAATATGGATACTGACTACAAGCCGCCAACTCCATGTTTTATCCCCATAATGCAAAGCACAGGTAACAACAAATACCATCTTTTAACATCCTTTGGTCTGACATGGCCAGAGGATCTACCAACGAGCGTCCACTCTCCAAATGATCAAAGACTTTAGTCAGTAATTGAATAGAGAAAGTACAAATCCACAATGATACCATGTCAATCAGATCAGCATATTCTAGTGTAACTAGTGGGCAACTTGTGTAAACATTAAACACACCTGGTTCTCCGCCTCCTGTATTGGCCTCATTGTTCTTGAAACGAAATTCCGCACTCCAGGGATCATACAGGTCCGTCCTTCTCTGACCATTGCTCAGCTCATAATCAAACCTCTTCCACTTGCTGGGGGTGTCAAAGCTAGAGACAAACTCCAGACTCTCGCCCACTGTTGACTTGATCAAGCGAGGCTCCAAACCCTCAGATGTAAGGTACCAATTGGGGAATACATCCGTCCTGGCAACCGAATAGTACTGGGCCTTAAATTGGATTTCAATGGTTTGTCCAGTTTTCAGTGTGGCAAATCCTTTCACAGGTTCAAGTATGAACAAGCAGCCATTGATGTGTTTCACTTGCATCTTAACATCTTCGTACAAATGTGAGTCTGAGACAGGTATAAAATCAGGCTCCATCATCCGTAAGTGACAGAAGTATATTCCCCATTTACCGTATCCCAGTTGACTGGAGGAGGTGTTGGTGATGTGGATACTGCCACGATAAGCACCTCTGCCATCACTGAGATTGTCCAGTACAGAGTAGCGAATGTCTAATGTGTCTGCAAATGTATTTAACAGCGACTGGTCCATTTTGTTGATAAAAGTGAAGAAACCCTGAAATATACAAGTACTGAGTAAGACAAGACATGAAAACAAGAAATAAATTCAAAGAGGAAAACCAGTCAAGGAAAATATCAGATTTCAGCTTCGGGGCAATATTTACTTGTTTTACTTCCTCAAATGCAGGGTGACACCAAGCTGAGAGACACAAGTAATACAAAACATATTTGAGTGGTATTCAGAGGCCAGACTTGTAACTAATAGATGGTATAGATGATCAAATCATTTTGTACAATTGTAGCTACAGCTGTATTTATATGTGTAACAATGAAGTTGATCATTCATATCATATTGTCATCAGTTAATTACAAAATGGATATGATGACACTAGACAGCTGTTTTGAGGATTATCTCAGTCAGTGACTAGTCTTAAGAAAACATTGATGGATATTTTTCACTAAAATATTTAGAAGCATGACTTGTTAACACTTCCTCTTCTTAATTTTTGTATCTGTCCTGAAGACACTATATACGATTTTGAAAAAAGTGCAGTGATAGAAACTAACATTTTTGTCCACTAGTCCTTATAATCATAGCATATAGCAAACCTCATAAAAATGGGAAAATTCTACTAGACCTTCTGATAGGCCTACCTATAAGGGTCAAGGATCGACTAACCACAGGACCATGTAACTGATAATAATAACAATTAAAAAAACAACAACAAAAAACGTAGACGAGCGAGTCTTTTTGTTGTTACTATTATTAGTTAGATCTACCACGGACCTATATAACCGGTTATACAAGTCTGTGGATCTGCATGGTCCTGTGGACTACCATTTAAGACTAGTGCCAATTTCTATAGCTGAAAAGAGGTATCTGAATTAATCATACTTGTTAATTATACTTATTGTTGAATTGTAATTAAAATTTCTTTTTATTTTGAAGGACACTGCGTGTGTTTTTACCAACTGGCTTACTTCCACATCAGCCTGTTATAAGCCTATGAGACATTATCTGTCTAAATCTAGTAAATGGTAACAAAGCGCCTGACTGACAACACGTATACCGTAATGATCTTTCCACTCCGATAAATGACACTGCAAAATGTTGATTTGCTTAGCAGCAGCCTTGCTTCAGCCTCACAAAATTGATGCAAGATCTTACCAATCAAGAAAATGCCGCTACTTCTGAACGGCAGTGTTTCATGTGCGACATATCAGTTCAGCCACCATTTTGTCCCATACTTGGTCATGTGACCCAGGACTCTATTCGAGCACAACAAGGGATCTTTTCGGGCGCATGTGTGGGCCCTAAATGCTACATGTAATACATCTGGCTACCCAGTATATTATTCTAAGGTAAAAATTCGACATAATTATGACGAGGATAAACTAGTATAATTTGAGGAAGAGAATATATGGATGTCAACTTTTTTATTATGAGGAACACAACATTTCGGAGTATATGCTTACTCCTCCATGAGGTGGATAATCTGGCTATATATTTTTTAAACAATAGAGCAAAATTACTGCTTTCGCAAAGTAAAATCACATAAACTCAAACATACAGAGAAGGATACACTGATAGTGATTTTGACAAGGAAACAACGCTCGCAATCCCCATGGGTGATTTGGGTTAAAAACGTACATATTGAACCACGGCAATACGTGATCATACGTACGTATAACTTCTTTCAGTGGCATTTAGAAGTTGGTGTGATGAAGTAAGACGAGTTCTATGGATGAACAACTTCTTTATTACAATTAGTGCGACGTTTCAGTGTAGATCCTAACACCTTTATCAAGCAAGTGATGGATAGTGCTCAATAACATAGGTATATATACTTATTAACTGGCTTCCATCATCTCTATCAGTCTGCTTGTTGACTCTGTGTTCATTAGTCATCCACTGGCTTCCAATTATCTTAATCAGCTCTCTGTGTCCACCAATCATTTACTGTATAAACATTGATGTTAGTAAGTATATATACCTATGTAGTTTAGCACTACCCATCACTTGCTTGATAAAGATGTTAGGATCTACACCGAAACGTCGCACTAATTGAAATAAAGAAATTGTTCATCCATAGAATTCGCCTTACTTCATACGTACGTAGCTGTACACAAGTAAACACAGACGTATTGCCTTCGGCCTCGTAGGATATAAATGCGTCAATAAAAATATGTTGGTTTTTTTTGTGTGTACAGCTATGTATTCCTGTGAACACATTAGCACAAACATCTGCCGCTCAGGTCCGTCCTTCTCTGACCATTGCTCAGCTCATAATCAAACCTCTTCCACTTGCTGGGGGTGTCAAAGCTAGAGACAAACTCCAGACTCTCGCCCACTGTTGACTTGATCAAGCGAGGCTCCAAACCCTCAGATGTGAGGTACCAATTGGGGAATACATCCGTCCTGGTAGCTGTACACAAGTAAACACAGACGTATTGCCTTCGGCCTCGTAGGATATAAATGCGTCAATAAAAATATGTTGTTTTTTTTGTGTGTGTACAGCTATGTATTCCTGTGAACACATTAGCACAAACATCTGCCGCTCTCAAAGAATGTTAATATCAGAGACCATACACCGGTATGTGGTCTCTCTTAATATCAAAGCGACTCCGGCTATTCTAATTGTAAGCGTGATTATTACGTTAAGTATATTTTTATTTGATCAAATAATATTTTGAAAGCATGGGACATTGACTAATCTACTACTACAACAGGTAACCCAATAATCATTAGTGCATGAATAAAGAATATTCTGAAAAAAAAAAGGAAACGCAAAAATAGTAAAATAGTAAAATCTGACAGAGTGTTGACGACATCCATACAAAATTAATACCAAAAATGAATTAGTCATTTCTGCATGGATCGGGATTGATATGTATGGAAAGAATGAGGTAGGTACTGCAGACATTTGATGAAAAGATGGAAAAATCGCAAAAACAACCACGTGAGAGCCTGGCGCCGAAATATACCAACACGTGACTTGACGTGAAATATCACTTGTACACGAATGGACTATAAAAACGTAATTGGGTTTTCATGCCATCACAATATCAACGTGCATATCATCAAATAAACAGCGAAAACATGTCTCGACTGACGGATGCCCAACGCAAAAAACGCCATCGGCCGAATGCAAACAGGAGAATCATCTTCAGCTGCATAGCCAGGTTTTTCCACGTAGCACCAAGCACCATTACAAGACTGGAACCGTTATCAGACACACAGGACAACGTCATGACCTTCCCAGATCCGGTCGACCACGTATCACTGCTAGAGCACAGGGCAGATTCATACCTCTACGTCACGTACGTGAAGGAACCACCACGACCACCTCTACAACTACGGCAATATCAGGATTGCGTGGGATGTCAGTCCAGACAGTGAGGACCCGTTTACGCGCTGAAGGTATTCGCGCTAGACGTCCAGTTCGAGGTGTCAATTTGACGGACCTGCATCGTCGGCTGCGACGTCAATAGAGACAAGCCGGAGACATGCGATGGAGAGACGTCGTGACCACAGACGTCGCAGGAAACGTTATGCACAAAACCGCATACAGGAAGTGAACAAATTCGGTGGTGGTATTGTGATGACGGTGGCAGCCATCTCCTACACTAGTAGAACAGTACGTCTTGGTGCAAGTTCTGGGGAATTTAACGGCACAACGTTACACGGGTGAGATTCTTGGGCCACACGTCCTTCCCACTTGCAACTAGCGAACATCATTTTCCAACAAGACATTTACGGGATGCACTTTATCAACGACCGCGAGCAAGTCAACAACATCCACAGAACCTCCGACAGAAGGCACAAGCACTACAGACAGAGTGGGCGAACATTCCCCAGGGCACAATTCGGAATCTGATTGCTTCCATGGGACGACGATGCCAGTCGGTTTTGGGCTCTATTGGTGGCCATACAAGATCAGAATAGATGAACAGATGACAAGATGAGAACAGATCTTGAAAATCTACTGTTCCATGTGTGCCATCTGGAACCTTGTTCAATGACAATATGATGTGTGCCAATTTTGAACAACCGATTACCATCTGTTGATTATTTATATCATATATAAAACATACATCTAAAATCACTTTGCTTGTTGTTTTTTTGCATAGTATATGTGATTGTGTTCTAATTTAAGCACAATGTAGTATTTATATGGCAACAACATTTAATTAATTTGCCCTATGCAGTATATAAATCAATGTGAGGTCTTATTATGCAAAAGCATTACTAGTTTTAGAATGAGAACGTATTCAACTGGTTAAATAGGATGACAAAATGAGTAAAAACAAACAAAGTGGATATGGGTATAAGTGGTTTCGAACGTAATACATTCACTTTGTATGCTGCACTTTGGACAAATTGAAAATTACTTCCCCTTGACGGCCTTGACCTGATATCTCACTACTTATTCGGTTGCGAGTGTGGATTTAAATACAAAACCAAATTAACAGGAAACATTTCACTGAGCAAATTGATTTATATATTCTGAAATATTTTAAAAATTTAATATTAATTTGTTTTGCTTTGATCTGAAGCCTTGAAGCTCAAAAAGTAAACATATTCTGCATGGTTTGTAGGTATTCGTTTGGAAAATAGTAGTAACCTAAATTTGACCCTAGCGAACGAGTTTCCAGAGTTTCCAGAGTTTCCACCACTACCACCGCAGACTGACAGCAATGTTATCCAGGGCATGTTTGCAGGGTGTACGGAGGGGTGTAAGCATATTTATTCGGTTATATTTTAATAGTTATACAACACGTGTAATATGTATCGCTGTTAGTGACAACAAATCGGACCAGGAGCAAAGCTCAAACATTGCCTTTGATCATCTCTCCTTTTTTATGTGTTATGAAACAGAACCTTTGCCGTTTATTTTCATGCTTGCATATATCTTGATTCAACAGTAGTTTTTGGTTTGGTATAGCTCACTGTATTAGGTATACTTTGTGTAGTGTGGTAAAAGAATAGTTTAATGACATAGACTTTTCAAAACGTAGGTAATTGATGGTGTTTCAGGATGTCTTCGAACCTCGGACTTTGCCCTCCAGATGAAATACGCATTTGTGTTTTTTTTCTAGTTACCTAACAGATCAAAACATAAAGCGTTTAATATACATTCTATTCAGACAAAGCATTGTTATTGTATTTTTTATTTTCCTTCTGAAATAATACTTTCTTATTTTAAAATAAAAAGATAGCAAAAGATCAGAACACCTTTAGAATACAGCAACACAAGTCCTCATGAAGATGATCTCAAATGTCACTAAGTCAGGCAACCAGTTTTTGTGAGAATCTGTCGGACACAAACTCGCAACCTTAGAATTGTTTGCCCGACAGCTAACCAACTGAGGGAGGGAACACTGTAAGGATAATGTGGATCATAGTAAAAATATGATGAAGGTATAAGCATGGCTAGTGACGCCACAAGGTTCAGTCGACTTTTGAATCATTACTGAAGAAATGTAACTGGTGAAAATGGCTTGTGTGGATATTCCAGGACAGTTTCCAGTAGCCAAAATATGTGACACTAAACCCATCATCCTGCTTTCTCACTGTTTTTTGTCTATAGAATCTAGTAATAGCCACTAAGTGGGTACCTAACCCTCATGATTAAAGGGGTGTTTGATTGTAAAGGGAATACTAGGGCTAAATAGAGTTCGGGATAACCTACCCCAACACAATTAACTAACAACTCAACGGCTACCTAACCCCACTGACTGTAAAGGGGTGATTGAACATAAAGGGGATCCAAGGGCTAAGGATAGATACACATTATGTCCCACGGTAGATAGTGTTCGGAGCGTTGACATTTGGAGGAATAGTTGTCGATATGACAAACGCCCAAAAATTTGAGCGCGGCACTGAAATTTAGGCACACCTTGAAATGTGGTGTTGCGTCCGGACCTGGCTGTGGTAACTGTGGTATTAATCAGGTGAATATTGATGTAACGTTTTTGGACAGCGTTAATACTGCTGATAGTGGCAAAAAAAAAGAGTTTTGATAGGTTTTACTGTCTTACATAGTCGTACAACTACTAAATAGTGTTATCATAAGTGATAGATTGGTTTACCTTGAAAAACTGCTAAGTGTAAGATAAGAATTTTCTGCCTTGAAGTGTCCTCTTTCTTGGTCCCACTTGGGATGTTACACTGTATTGTAATAGTTAACTTTGAGAAAATGCTCATTCCAATCTGTTCAGCAGTTTGAAAAAGCATGACCTGTGTGAAAGAAGCAGAATAAAGAAGAAACATTGCTGTGTTCAGTATTTTTCTGATGAAATAGGATTTCAAAACCAATTCATTGCGATTTTTACCAAGTAAAATTGTTACTATTTAATGACTGAAGGCAAAGGACCTAAGTCTTGCTGTCAGTAACCACAGACATATATAACACTGAGAGATGCATCTGTAAGTTATGAACATCATTTCCAGGTGCATGTCTTCAAGAGATTCAACAGTACGCTTGTTGTTGTGGAACACAACAATGAAAAACTGACACCAATTACTCTCCATGCCATCACAGCTGCCACCAAACTGGGTGGTGAGGTCTCCTGTCTTGTAGCCGGATCTCAGTGCGCTAAGGTAACCCTTGAAAATTGAAACCTCATACATGTTTTAATGTTAGTAATAAAATGGCCATCATCAGTTATGTTTACATACACTATCAACATAATCATGACAGTGTACTTTCAGTTTTGTATACAGAATTCCAACTTTAAAAATCCCATTAGTTCAGTCAGTAAGACCTTCACAAACTGTTATATGTGAGTACAGGTTTAATGTTTCACAGCTGAACATGTTACCATGGAAGGAGATATGTCCACACTGCTTCTTGTTTCATTTGTTGGTGTTCATTTTGTGGTCATACACACCCAGAACCCTTCAGTTGTTGTGTACAAGATGGTACCAAAGCCCGTTTTCTACAATAACAATAGTTTCATTATCAAGACTTAACATCAATAAACTTGAAGAAAATATTTCCATTTAACTGTTAGTTCAAATAATGATCCCGAAATCAAGTGAAAAATCCTATGTCTGACAGGTCACGAAATGATACATGTCTCGATATACCTGAAAAACAATACAAAGGCCCAATGTGGAGGAAGAGGCTTAAATGCTCACTTTAACATTATTGCATTGAATGCGATGTTGATAATCAATAATAGAATACCTCTCAATTTCAGAAAATAAGAAATTAAGAAAATGTCTCTTTTAAACAAAATTACAATTTTTCCTAATTTGCCTACCACTTCTAAAATTCTACATATAATCCTGCCTTAATTATTCCAGACATTGGGTGACGTGTCCTCACAGAGAGGGTACAATCAAGATTAGCAGGGTTTCACTATACTTAGTCAGGGTTAGAAACATATTTAATCCACTAGTCCTTATAATGATAACATATAGATAGCAAAACCCTTAAAAATGGCAAATTTCTACTAGTCCTAATGATACCTTAACTACTGGGCAGTTTGGCAAGGACTACAGGACTAGTCCCAATTTCTAACGCTGTTAGTGTATATATAAGGTCAAAGACATACATTGGTTGATCATTTAAAGATAAAATGTGTTGAGTATTTTTCCTTTTTCCCCTGAGAATGCTGCTGAGTGATCACTGTTTGTTCACAGGTTGCAGAGGAGGTTAGCAAGGTAGCTGGCGTGAAGAAGGTCCTCTTGGCAGACAGTGATGCTTTCAAGGGGTTTCTTCCAGGTCAGTTTGTGTTGTGGTCATTGCATCATGAGAATAACTTCCATACCTAAACATGCTGAAAATCATCTGACATTAATCACGTTAATAGGTCACAATGGATGTCCTTTTTTGGGTAGTCATGACAGGAACATCTTCCCGACGCAAGAGAGTTAACTGACTTTAAAAGTCCAGTCTCCACCCTTTGCCGAACTAGGCTGGAATTCCTGGGGTCGATCGTAGCGCCACCAGTGGCTATTACGAGTTATGTCCTTTCTATGCCTCTCCTATTGACCAATCAAATTCACCCTCTTGTATCACTTGCATTTGCTTCAAACAAAACGGTGGCGCCCAGTCAAGACGATCTGATCGATAATCAAGATCTATATTGTGATAAAACAAGTCTTACATTGCGAAGTGCATCAAATATTCTTGATTAAAAACATAAAAAGATTTAGAAAATATCTGTTGACAACGAGTTAGCGGTGCACATGCTTTGCAAATCCTGCAGTCGATCGAAATCTGCATGACACTTTACGAACCAGATTTAGATTTCAGTGCGCGATTTTGATTGGACTATGCATAGACTCATTAGTCCAGCCAAAATGTAACTCCATAATACCAGCCTAGTTCGGCAAGGGTGGAAACTGGACTTTTATAGTAGTTAACTCACTTGCCTTGGGAAGATGTGACAGGAATTGCTAAGAGATGTTTAGTCGATGTAAGTAAATCATTCATCTATAAAACTGGATGTTATTGCATGTATGTGGTTTGTGTTTATGTCCAGATACCAGCAGCATGATGTTTGTCATTGGACACATCTTAGTGTTCATTCATGCTACACAGACAGACATTGATTGGCTTCTTATTTATTGTAAACTTCATAACTATGTATTTATGCGAGTGAATTAGTCAGGGTACCAAATTAGAGCAATTTCTTATCCATTAGAATAGAACCTACACTGAAATGGCGCTCTTAATTGTAATAAAGAAGTTGTTTATTCATAACTTCTTATCCTTACTTAGTACTCCAGCTTCTAAATGCCTATCAAAGGAGTTACTTATACACTGGCTGGTTGTTTAATTAGTCATGCATATGCAGGTAGATATCAACACTATAAACATGGCAGTGAAAATGAGATTACTAGTTTTGAGTAACTTGTCTGTTGAACAAAGAAGCAGAGAAAACCTTTGGCAATGTTCAGGACACTTATTAAGTTTTAAGAGTTTTGTTGTGGTTAAAGCATTTGCTCGTCACACCAATACCCTGGGTTCGTTTCCCAAATCAGTCCAATGTGTGAAACCCATTTCCGGTGATATTGCTGGAATAATGCTCGAAATGGTGTAAAATCCATTTCACTCACTCACTTGTGAGAAGGAAAAATAAAAAAGAATGTTTATTCTTGAAATTCAGGTGATTCCTTGTTTTATTAATGTAGTTGATGCTGTTTTTATTTCAGAGGCCTTAACTCCCCTTGTGCTGGCAACACAGAGCCAGTTTAAGTTCACACACATCTTGGCAGGGGCCACAGCACTTGGAAAGGTAATGTTTCACATTGGCAGTATTCATGCATTAAGCTGTTCATATCATGAAACCCATTTCAGGGAATGCTGAATAATGGAACATGAATAATACAGGATATTAAGACCTTAGTCAATTGTACTCACTCACCCACCCACTCACTCCAAAGTCTGTGCAATAAAACTGTCCTGTTGATCTGGAGTTGATGTTTACCTATGTACTGTGTGGACATTGTAATTCTTTGTTGTTATCTTTTCTGTTTGTGTAGATAAGAAATTTTTCTTTGCAGAGCTTAGCACCAAGGGTCGCAGCTAAACTTGATGTGTCTGCAATCTCAGATATTATTGGTATCCAGTCACCTGACACGTTTGTGCGCACAATATATGCAGGTATGTTGACCTGCAACATTAGGGTAGGGGAGGTTCATTGTATTAACATGCACAACAATTCAGTTTTGACAATTCAACATATTTTAACTTATCCTGACTCATTCTAATTGCTTATCTCATGTTATTTCTGAAAGGTAGTGGAAATTTCCTGAATCATGTCCCCAGAGAACAGAAATGATAGCTCACCCCAACGCACCCTTAGCCCATTAGGTGCACCGGAACCACGTGACCTAGCCAGAAGACTCATCACTCTCCCATCTGTGTAGTTGGAATAATAATTCTGAGCTCTGTAATCCGAACCATCCTATCAACCTCGACTGCTTTAGCTGCTCTGGTTGAATATCCTCTTCTAGTGATGCTTGGGGGCACGGGTGGCCCAGTCGTCTAAGGCGCCGCGATTCGCTGTGCAGAGTTGCGTCCCTTGGGCATGCCAGAAACTGATGATCGTGGGTTCGAATCCCGGTCCCCCCCAAATATGTTTCTAGGTTTGTCAGCACCATACCCGTGCTCGTGGGTTTCATCGAAGTGGTAAACGTCTGAGACCTGCATCACTACGGGCTTTCGTCCCACATTAAGCTGACACGCCGCGATATAACTGGAATACTGTTAAAAAGCGGCGTTAAACCCAACTCATTCACTCACTCTAGTGAGGCTGATTGTAATATGTTCCATGCATGAAGCTTGGAGAGATCCGGTCTTGGATGAACTTGCTTTGTGTGAGGATGAAGGCGGTTTGGCCAGTTTGGGAGTGTTTAGGATTGGTTTCCATGCTGTTGCGGTGAGGTCTGGAAAGCAAGTTCTTGTCGGCTATTAAAGCGCGATCAAAAGCAGTAGAAGGTACTTCGTGCTCGTGATCTTCTGCTCTATCAGAGGTATCACTGCTGATGACGATAAATTGAAGAGTTGACCAGTTGGCGAGATCTAAGGCAACTAAAGCCACTTCACCACAAGTAGCTGTTCTTTCTGTTCTTTGGGATCACAGTTCAGGAAGTTTCCACTACCTTTCTGATATGAGATGAGATAAGCAATTAGTAGGAGTGAGGATAAGTAGTAATGATATTTTTACACTAAAAAATAAATGATCTACCTTGAGGTTGATCACTGTTATGGTACTGTAGTACCTCAATACCTTTAAATATCCTACATGCGTTTTTGTTAGACATTTTATGCAGTGTATAATACATGGTGTACAGGGCTCCTGTTAAGAAACTTGATTTAACTTGCACCAGGTGCAGGTGGACATGAAAATCACATTGCACCAAACAAAACCAGGTTGCACCCCAGTCCCATTAATTCATCAAAGTTGAAACATAGGCTGGTCTGCTGCCAGTGTCACATAAATTAATGATGCACTGCTGTAGAACATAGGGACATGTGCACATTATCTTGACGTATCCACAGTTGGATGACATCACGCCCAGGAAAGCATGACAAATTACACATAACACAGAGATTAGTGATGTAGTATGGTAAATAACCTTTAGTATTGAGTGGGTTTAAATATCAATTTTGGGTGACAAGTAAGAGTTAATCAGACATTTTTACATGCATGTAGACATAAATACTGTAGATCTTGAAATTAATGCAAGCATGAATTAAATACGAAAAATGTGAGTGGTCTTTGCTCGTATTAATTAACTTCGCACTTTTGTCTCCAAATGACTATCAACAATAAGACGGCCTCACTGCACACTTTGGATAGCAGAAATACCAACTTGAATATAAACATAAACACGTTTTATTGAGCAGCAGTTGTAACAAGTATATAACAATGTCAGTCAAAGAATAGGAATTAGGCATCCAGTGAGTTATCACTGCTGTGGTCAAAAGTTCTATCCACTCGTGTCAAGCTTGTTGACACCTTCTCCGCATACCAATCACTGAACTGTTCTTGGTTCAATTAGTTTATTGCCTTTGAACTTTCTTAATCCCAGTTCACAGAGTAAACATGAACTGTGTGTTGTTTTTCTGAAAACATTGTTTTTTGTTATTACGGAAGTGCTTTACTCAGTGCTAATATAAAGGCTTCTGCATTTGAGGTGCTGTGTACTGGTTGTGTTTGTAGGCAATGCAATCCAGACCCTCAAGTCGAATGACAGTGTGAAGGTGATCACGGTGCGAGGGACGGCCTTCGATGCAGCCGATGCAGACTCGGGCTCGGCAGCACAAGAGGAAGGTATTAACATCAACACAGTGTTGTCGTTTCATAACATATTGGGTTTTAGGTTTTGATCAGTGCATTGAAAAACATGTTTCATACTGCTGAGTAATTTATGACAAATAACATTTAGCAATCATTAGACCTAAAAATATTAAAGTTTACCTTACAACCATAAAGATCAAGAAATTACTTCCAAGTCTAGCATACTTTCATAGGATTGTTGTCTGCTATTGATTTCATTGAATGAGAGGTACCTGATTCTGCTTTACTTCCTTAAGCAATGTATAAGAGCACTCTCTCTTTCACATTGCAAGATTTTGCATGCATTTTTTTTTCAATAACACACCAAAGAAATGTGAGAAGTAAATTGTTTGATATTGATGATCATCTGCTTCCTATTTGCTTTGTCCACCAGCTCCTGCCGCCACGCCTTCAGCAACATCAGAATTTGTGTCCCAGGAGCTCAGCAAGAGTGACAGACCAGACCTCACCAGTGCCAAGTCGGTCATCTCAGGAGGTAGGAATCAGTTGTCTTAGAAATGATATATATCTCACTTGCTTCCGGACCCCAGCTAGAAAATAATTACCAATATGTTTTTCTTTGGATGCCTAAATATAGTCATACCTATTCTGTAAGAATCCATTGTAATTGAAATGAAACTATTTTGTTTAAAGGGCAACTTCCCTTTATTAGGTTGTGATGGGAATTTCCAATGTTTGTCATTCTGTTCCTCAGTATCAGCGTACTTACATTCTGTGTACGTTGTGTGGGACTTCAGTGGGAATATTAGGGCTGGGACGGGTAACTCGGGTCCTCGAGTTGGGTGGGTACTAGGTGGACCCACAGGACTACCCGGACCCGTGGTTAGTATCTAAAACTCTATGTTTAAACTACTCATGTTTTAGTCTGTTTTCAGTCGTACAATTGGGTATCTCATACCTCTAGTAGCACGTTAAAAGGAAGCCAGAAGCTGGAATGTAAACAATAAACTTGTTTCCGTCCGGTTGCGCACGCACCTCCCGATGACATGCCACAAATCTCTCAGCGCGCCTCTGAGCTGGTCGCTCGAGAAGGACTTTCGCGATAGACTGCTAGTTTGTATTCTACTAGTACTTATCGTGTGTTTACAGTTGTTGTTCTAATACAGTAATAATATTATATGTCTTACCTGTAGACTCCTGGAATGTAATCCTTGGTAATCCATTGTTTGGGTTCAACACGTGTTTCACTTGATTATACACCTGGCAACATGTCGGGCATTTGTGCCTCGTGTCAAGGAAAACTGTCTAAAGTAGATCCTCACAAGTATTGTCCTTCCTGGATAAATAAGGACGGGTTTTCAACGTGTTCGTGGAATAAACGTTGTAAAGAATGTGAGCATTTGTCTTCTATCAACTTTAACTTGTATCTTCGTGCGTTGGCGAAGCGGGCTACTGACCAGCGCTACAAGCAGAGGAGGTCATCGGGTGGATCCTTGGACTCTGCACCCCCTACATCTGGCCCTGGGGGTGGCACGTCGGCCACACCCAAGAAATCAGTTGAAAAAGACCCGCCTCAGTCAACTTATGTTTTCGACAAGACACGTGACCGTTCGCCTGCTGATGATACTACCCGCACGACTGATCTTCGTCAATCGGTTGATTGAGAGCGTCACTCAGCCACCCCCGTTACGACGGGACCGGGTGGTGACGAGGACCACGAGGGGACTACGGTCCCAAGTCGGTCCGTATCTCGTCCTACCTACGACGTGCGGGTCGACAGTGAACACAGATCCCTCTCTAGAAGTCGTTCCCGTTCACGGGACGACAGGTCGAGTGCCTAGTCGAGAGACAGTAAACGACATGAGGACGTTCGTCGCCTTCGAGGTCGTCGGGAGTTCGATTCGGACGATAACTACGATGGGGATCGTAGTACTTCTACAGTTAGAGATCGTAGCCCTCGTCCCCACGGGGACGTGCGACGCTCTCGAAGGGAGTTTTTTGAAGATCAGCGTCATAGAGATAATGATCGATCGTCACCCTCGTCTCACTTTCATATCGACCCGGCTTTGATAGGCCAGATGACAGCGGCGGTACTCGCCTTGACGGCGTCGACCGAGAAGGGTTCGACTACGTCGGAGGTCCATGGACCATCGTCCTGTACACCGGTTCCTTCATTTACGCCTACACAATCGACGTCGACGATGGATTGTGACAACAGCGTCGTAGAGATAATGACCGATCGGCACCCTCGTCTTCAGAGCCATGTCTTCAGAGCCATGGCTCACGATATGGACCAGAACTTGCCTCTGCTCTGCCGGGGCAGAGTTTCAGCAAACCACCTGTTCGATCGCGTTACCCGATCTCTGGCATGCCGTTTTCGTCACTCATGAGAAGGGACTTGGATTGGGGGCTACTCTTCAAGAAACCAGCGCCCTCCAAGATTCTTGTAGTAGACAGGCATTGGGGATCCATGGACACTGCTGTTCGTCTCCAGCTACAACCGCTTGCTATGCTGCCGACAGCGAGCCAGCGGGGGAGGTAGTGAGGTCCCTTTTCCCCGCCGTCACCGTTGTCGGAGCCTACTACCTTTAGACGAGCTACCGGTAGGGGGAAGACTTCATCACACGGATCATGAAGACGGTCGTAGAATGGCTCCATCGGCAGGCGATCAGGGTCGCCTTCTACCTAGACGAGCCGTCTCCTACGGGCGACAGGCTCACTAAAATACCGGAATTGCAGAAAATTCTACGTGCCTTCATGGTTGAAGATGAGTCACATTAATTCCGACTGCCGGCCTGGGACCTCGATATCGTTCTGCGCTACCTGTCTAGTTAGACTTACGAGCCTCCCGATCAGGTCGCCTTCGACATTGTCTCAGACAAGAAGTACTGCTCCTATTTTTTAGTTACCTTGTATACTGCGAGTTGCTCTGTAACTAAATTATGCGCCGACCACACTTCGATCGCAATTCATCTGACGTGTGCAGTTGTCATGTCGCATCGATAATTTGTTGTGTGTCGAAGAGCATTAACCATGCTATTTTTCGTTACCTTGGATACGACGAGTCGTTCTTAAACTAAATTATATACCGTCCACACTTCGATCGCAATTCAACTGTCGTGTGCAGTTGTCCTGTCGCATCGATAGTTACTTGTGGGTTGAAGAGCATTAAACATGCTGTTTTAGTTACCTTGTATACTGCGAGTTGCTCTGTAACTAAACTATACGTCGACCACTTCGATCGCAGTTAAACTGACGCGTGCAGTTGTCCTGTCGCATCGATAATTAGTAGTGTGTCGAAGAGCATTAAACATGCTGTTTTAGTTACCTTGCCTACGACGAGTCGTTCTGTAACTACATTATAAGCCGACCACGTTTCGATCGCACCTCAACTGTCGTGTGCAGTTGCCTTGTCGCATCGATACTTACTTGTGGGTCGAAGAGCATTAAACATGCTGTTTTAGTTACCTTGTATACTTCGAGTTGCTCTGTAACTAAACTATACGTCGACCACTTCGATCGCAGTTCAACTGACGCGTGCAGTTGTCCTGTCGCATCGATAACTAGTTGTGTGTCGATGAGCATTAACCATGCTGTGCGTTCGTGATAAACAATTTGTCTCGTCCGTGCATCTGGTCGAATGTTCTATTGTCACTACAGGGGTGAGGAACTTGGTACATTCGACGTGACAGAGGTCACTTCCGGATTACTTTCCAGACCCTCCTTCCAGTGTTCCGTCGAATTCTACCCAATTGTACGACTGAAAACAGACTAAAACATGGGTTTTTCAGATTAAAAACGATGTTTTATTGGTCTGTTTTCAGTCGTACGTTCCCACCAAGCCATCCCCACTGGGAAGTAATCCAGTCCAGTCCTGCTTGATGGCTTATTCTTCGAGATTTGTGGCATATCATCGGGAGGTGCGTGCGCAACCGGACGGAAACAAGTTTATTGTTTACATTCCAGCTTCTGGCTTCCTTTTAACGTGCGACTAGAGGTATGAGATACCCAATTGTACGACTGAAAACAGACCAATAAAACATCGTTTTTAATCTGAAAAACCCATGTTTGCAGTTTTTCCTGACAACTACGCCCATTCCTTCTGACTTTTATTTGTTTGAATAAAAAAAAAACTTCAGTCAACTTCAGTGTATATACCAGATCGTTTCATACATGTATCTAAACACATTTTACCAGAGCTACGGTCCAATCGGACAGTTTGTACCTACCTCTTGAGACCTACAGCTGGTACCCGGGTAGGGTTGGGTAATAGGGGGATGGGTACCCAGGCAGTAAATTTGGACTTGTCCCAGCCCTAAATGATATAATGCATGTTGTGATACCTGAGTTACCTCCCTTGCTTCAGGGCGTGGTATGAAGAATGGTGAAAACTTCAAGATGCTGTACGATCTCGCTGACAAGATGGGGGCAGCTGTCGGAGCATCTCGCGCGGCTGTTGATGCAGGCTTCGTCCCTAATGACATGCAAGTTGGACAGACAGGGAAGATTGTTGCACCAGTGAGTGGAATAACTGTAGAAATAAAGAGCTGATATTTCTGATAAGAATTTGAAAACTGTGGAATCACAATTCATTGTTGGAAATATTTTTTTGATTCTGATATTGTAGCTATCAAGTTTGTGAAGACCATGATCAATTCTCTATGAATTGTGTTTTCCAAAAATTTGCAAGTAAGTTGTAATTTGAAATGCATGTCTACTGGTGTTGATGACTGACCACTCTCTCCAGGACCTGTACATTGCTGTGGGAATCTCCGGGGCTATCCAGCACTTGGCAGGGATGAAAGATAGCAAGATCATTGTGGCCATTAACAAGGACCCAGAAGCTCCCATATTTCAAGTGGCAGACTATGGCCTTGTTGCCGACCTGTTCAAGGTGAGACAGACAGAGATACTATCGGACAGTGCAACCCATCCACTCTGTACCGATCAGTGTTCCTTTATCGCCCGTGAATACACTGGGTTGATAAGCAGTTTAGTGGTGACACAATGTATTTTTAGTCAAGCAGTGACATATGGCTGTGTATAAATAAAAAATCCAAGCCCAGCTTCATGCATGAATTGTGTGCATACCCAACTGCTCCCTGACATACTAGCTATGAGGAGAGTAGATGGCGGCAGTGTCATAGCACATGTAATGTAATATGAGTGCTCATTGGTCTGACCTGGTTTCCAACTGGCTTGAACCATGTCGTGCCCCGATTTGTAGGTTAAATGTAGATAGCACATAGCAAAGAGGCTGTATCCCCAGGTGATGAAGGAACGTAGTGTATACTAATCATATTGACATCCTTTGTACCATTCAACTAAAACAATTGTTTGATTAATGCAAGATTGGTGATGACCATAGCCTAGTGCTGGTATCTTTGAAATTAAAGTCGTCTCTAGATGTGATGTACTGGACGTCCTCGTAATTCCAGTCCTTCCAATTAGTCAATTCATCTTGATATTGCTATGTTTAAAATATATCTGAAATTATGTTCTAGTTTAAACACTAAATGCATTGGCGTAATTGTGATATCAGTGCACTGAGTTAGAGGTGACACACCAGTTATGTGATTGTAATTTTGTACTGTAGTGTATTCAGTAAAACAATATTCCTTACCGTAAACAGTAACAGAAGGGGCATTGATAACATTTGGCAAGTCATGTAGGCTTCTACTATCACCAGTACTGTTACATGTGATATCAGACCCATTTACCTCATTCTTGGGACCCGTAAAGATCGAGGTTAGAATAGGTCTTCAGCAACCCATGCTTGCAGTAAAAGGTAGTATGCTTGTCGTAAGAGGCAACTAACAGGATCAGGTGGTCAGACTTGCTGACTTGGTTGATGCATCATCATATCCAAATTGCATGGATCATGCTCATGATGTCAATCACTGGATTGTCTGGTCCAGACTCAACTATTTACAGATGGCCATCATATAGCTGGAATACTGCTGAGTGCGGCGTTAAACAACAAACAAGCAAACAAAACCCCATTGTCATCCATGTCATAACAGCTGACCAAAGTGGGGATAAGGTGGTCATAATGTAGGACCAGGCTGATTGTGTCATCGTCCCTGATAGCTTGGATCGTTGTTGGTTGGCCTGGCACATAAGTTGTTAACAAGCTTCCTCGATATGGCTGGAATATTGCCGACTGACATGAAGCAAATTCACTCATTCACTAGATGTCATAAATGAAATCGAAAATAAGAAAATAGCTTCTGAGATAAGTCAAGTTTGTTCTTGACAGTACTTCATGGTTTGTGTTGTCTCTCACAATGAAACATCTCTCCTGCAGGTTATTCCTGAGATGTCAGCGCTAGTTGACAAGAAGTGAGCGATGCTGCGGTGGTGTGGAAGTAGTGGGGTTGTCACTGCCAGGCTGTGATACAGTGTATGCTAAACATGTTTGTGTGGGAGTCATAATACTCTGATATATGTCACCGATTTAGTCAGAACGTGTACAAGTCACTATGTGAATGTTGAGTGAATGAAATAAATTGTAATTATCCTAGAACATGCTGGTTTGTTTTGTGTATGGCATCCTTCTGATTGAAACACTCTTTGGTACTGCCATTACTTGGTGAGCTGTGCCTTCATCCATTATCCGGCATGATGTCTTGTGGTGCTGACAGGTATTGTTTCATCCCTGTTGGAGGCAGTCCGTAGCCTAGTGGTTAAAACATTCGCTCGTCACGCCGAAGACCTTGGTTCCATTCCCGACATGGGTTCAATGTGTGAAGCCCATTTCTGGTGTCCCCTGCCGTGATATTGCTGGAGTATTGCTAAAAGCTGCGTAAAACCATACTCACTCATCCCTGTGGGGATTCTGGGATAGAATTGGTTCTAGAAACCTGTGATGGTCGTAAATGGATACTTTATCATTGTTTATGGATTGGAAGGTCACGCCCTGTGACCTGGTTGATTTCTATCATGATACATACATGATTTAGCTGGAATATTGCTGAGAGTGGGGTTAAACAAGAAACTTAAGTATTGAATAAAGGTCAGCATGAATAAAATTGATGCATAACTGACAGTGCTCATTGACAGAAATCGTAACTGGAAGCCACTTGATACACAACCAACCATCTTATATGCAGTCCTCTGGACAGGTGTGCCGCCTCCGCGGTATTGTGGTAGAGCATCCGCCCGGAGAGCGGAAGGTCCGGGGTTCGATCCCCGGCCGCGTCATACCAAAAGATGTTAAAAGATGGTACTTGTTACCCTGTCTGGCGCTCGACATTAAGGGGCTAAAACAAGAACTGGTCGACTCGGAGTCAGTATACTGTGTCTGAGTGGGGCATTCATGTTAAACTGCGGCATGGTATCTCAGTGAGCTAGCACTGTTAATCGGCATCAGTCCGGACTAGTACAAGCAGCCACACACACACACACACGTGCATGCACGTCCCTATATAAGTGCAATAATCTTGGACGCGACGTTAAACCCAATTTCACCTCACCTCTGGACAGGTGTACAATAATGTGTTGACATTTTGACTTTGTTGAGTTGGAGATCCTGTGGAGTATTTTGTTATCCGTTACTCATCCATACCTCGGGTACCAGCAATATGTATTGTGATAGTTGAAAATTATTACTATTCCCCGATGACAGTATGCAATTTTCTTGGTATTTTCCATACTCATAACACTGAGTGGGAATCCACGGTCATCATTTTTGAACTTACCCTTTACCCTGTGGATTTGAATTGGCATTTTGGCAGTTACCTCCCAGACACAGAAAGCGGGAGTACCCAGGAATATCTTATCCTTGTGGTTAAGGGAGATGATCTGGAGTCTTATAAGCAGCTGGATTTCAGCTGCAAACAATCCACATGAGACCAAGCCATATACGTATTTCCTCTTTTGGACTCTCAGGTGTCTATCTATTTTACTCTGTGTGTTTATTTAGTTTAATGTTCGCACAGTGGCAACTCCCTCCCTTACCGAATCTCTAATTCTATAGTCATACAATAAAGCATACATTTGCAGGAAACACATTAATCAATATAATATCACTGTTAAAGACCCTTCTAATGGCAGCCAAGGCTTCTATTTTCTGGACAGAGCCTCTATTAGAGACCCGCGTGTATCAGAGATACCGCGTCTCCCCCAGGAAATACCGTACATGTGCATTACAGACATTTCCGATTTCGGTAGATAATCAAGACTCATCATTCTCTGTTTTCAGTTACATTTGCGAGTGACTTTGCCACAATTAACAAACTCGTTGGGTTGAAGTAAGCAATGATCATTCGACGCCACTGTTGTCAGTTTCCCATGCATGATCTTCCGGTTGCCTTCAGAAATAATGGCTGTGCTCTGGAATGACAATAGAGTTTGAGTCATTTCTTCAGTCAAAGATCCATGTCATTAAATGGGACAAAACCCTTTCCATATATTCATAAGTAATCTCTGCTATAAGCAGAAACGATTGGATAATTACGACTTTATGAATCACAAATAGTGATGATACCAGGTGCCCCACTATCCCGACACACCAGTGGCGCCCATCCCAAACACATGCAAAGGAAAGTCAATGGTTAACCTGAAAAATACACGGCAACGTAAGGTACAGGTTAAAACAGGGAATTGCATATGACATCATTTTCGTTACTGATGAGTCAAATTTGGAAATGTCCTCCACATGTCTACAAAAACAGTTTGTGAAAGCTTCAGTGGGGCCTGGAATGATCAAATAACTTTTTAGCATGAGTCGTGGAAAGAGAATGCTCGATTGTCCTTTAAAGTTGTGAAATGTAGACACCAAAGGCTGGAGCATCTAACGTACGACAAGATCCAAGCCTAGTTTCCACCTAGCCATTTCAAGCCTACTTTTCTTGGTTCGAACGTGTCCCTTGTTATGAAAACGCTAAAACAGATCGCTGGGTTTTTTTCGATTGGGTTCACAAAAATGACTACCATACTGGCCGATCAGGTAACGAAATGTTCGAGATTTCATCCCTGACAGACAAACATGGTAGTAATTTCGACCGCATTTCGCTCTCACAATAATACAGGGATACGAACTTCACAGTATCAATTAAGTAACACTGCACATAACGTTAAACATGAAACGCTCAGCAGGTGTCGTCTAAAATAGCCCTGCATCTTAGTCACTGCGTTAATTATTCAGTCGTTTGATTAAAAGGCAATGTAATTTGCACTCAAATATACCAGAAAAAAATCTGTAAGGGGACCCACAAATGTATTCGGATATGAGACTTGAATTTCTTTGGTGCCGGAGAAGTGGAATGGTGTCATTCCATGGATTGACGTTTTGTCTCGGGATCATAGTGGTAGACCAATGTTTTATCACCCGTTACTAATCTCTTTTCGAATTTTACGAAATCCTCCTCAATTAGCTCCAAATGTTCTCTAGCAATGACAGTTCTTTCCCCCTTACGATCAGAATTAGATACGTTGGCACCCAACGAGCAGATATCTTATTCATCTGTAAATGTTCATGAATAATAGTGTCAATGGATCCCTGACTTAGACCTGTGGTTCCTCAAGTTCAGCAATGATAATACGTCTATCTGACAAGTTTTTCAGTTTCCTTGATTGAATCTTCATTGGTGGAAGTTGAGGGACGTCCAGATCTAGGGTCATCATCAAGGCTTGTTCTCCAAGCCTTAAATATAGCTGCCCAACGATTAACAGTGGAATAGCTAGGGCACCTATCCCCATACACTTGTGACAATACGTGAAAAAACTTGATGAATGCTAGGTACTCGTTGTGTCCATTTGGACCCATATCGAGTCCAACAGGCTGTCACTTACATACATACGGCCTCAACAGATCAAATGTACTTGCAATGAACTAGTCAAACAATTTACTACATTGACTAGTTCACTTTGTTTTGGCCCATAGATGAAAGTTAGTCAGGCTTAGAACCTCTTGACCAGCCCTCGTATGTAAAGAAATTGCCTTGTGGAAATCAGTCTTCATAGTAAAGTGTCTGACAATTGCATTGGCCAGCTTTAATCATGCCTATTGCGAGCACATTTGCATTTTCTGTCATGCACATATTTGGAGGCTTCAATGACGCATGTGGATGTCACATTGGCACATGCCATAAACCAGTATGTGTCATTGTGAACGGCATGTTTTATTGTGCAATATGCAAAGTGTGAGCGAGTTTTCTATCCGCTTTCAGTGACTGTGTCTCTAAGCTAACACCAAGTCTCTGAAATGAACATATTTTACAGCACAAGAAATGATTCAGAATGTCATGGTAAATCCCCCAAAATCCAGCAGCATGTGGCTGGGCAAAGATGAATGGATGCCAATTATTGCCTACTCTCTCCTCAGGTGTTAATTAGAGATTTGTCATATAATAAGAAGAAGCCCAGAGACTCTTCATTTTCAGATTTGTCTGGCCAGAGTGGCAGGGCCAGGAACAGGAGGTCTTGGTTCGGTGTGTGGTGTTGGGGGGTGGTGGGGGAGGCTTGCCATGGGCTAATACGAAACACTAAAGACAGCTAGAGATTTACTGATCACTGTCCTCGCTGGTGATTGCAGCAGATAGAACAGACCCTGATACTGCAGTAATCTACACTTGTCAAATATTATAGACTTGCTTGGGCTGCATTGGATATATTTGTTTCAGGGTATGTATGGCAGACTAAGAGTGTCTTGTTCAACAAAGATTGCCATTTAAATCCTATAGATGAAATGATATGGGTTTCCTTAAATATTTTTCCTTGTAAATATATACTCGGGCGAGTTGGTTAAAAACTTTGAACCACTTCGAAAATGTTTGTCTTCGCTTGGTTTTTCGGAACTATTTCAGAGCAATTTCGACAGGCGATGGTTGTGGCCATAGCAACCACATTTTGGGAACCCGGATGTTGATTTTGTAAAACGTTCTCTGATTGGACTGTCGATCTGTGCGACAGTCCGCTCATATCTTAGTACAGAAAGGTCGGCTTGAAATGGCAAGGGTGAAAACTAGACTTTGAGATAGGCTAGTGGACACTCGTGGACAATCTTGCCTGGAGGGTGGAGCTGCTGAAATACTGCTACACATAAAAGGGAAAGTTGGTGTCATCCTTCTTGTCATACAATCTTGTGGAAAACTTTACGTCACTCAGAATCTTTCTGCATAGATGTAAATATGAAACCGATAAGGCGGTTTTCATTGTTCTAGTTGAGATGAGGAAATTCACTGGCTAGTTGACCGTTGTTGAACGATTTCAGATCATCGATACACCTGAAGCCTAAGTTAAAGGTCTCTGCCATATTGTTTTGGGTTTTCATTTTAGCCAATTCCGATTCATATGCATAAAGAAACAGATCGGCAAGAAGGGGAACAAAATTGGAGCCCATGAGAATGCCTCCATCTTGCCTTAATGTTTTACATATTCTCAAATCTTACATTGATGGTATGAGTGAGGCAGTCGAGTTGTCTCAGTATGCAGGGGGTGGGGTTGGGTGAGTCGCTCTTCGTACGGGTTTTAGTTGAGCTTTGAATCCAACACAAAAGAGATATGGACATGTGTTCAGATTTA